CTCGCTGTTATGCTACCAAGGCTTATACTTTACATATATAATATTCTCGTGCAAATGAAAGTCCATCTTGTTCGTATTGATAACAAAGGATCCGAGCTTAAAAGCTGAATATATCGACGTCTTAGCTAGAACTAGTAAACTTCTACTGTAATCTATACATATAAAAAAATTGTAACTAAGTCGAATCTGTACATTACACTTCTAAATTTTTTATTTAAAAAATACTTAGTTTCATTGATATCTGTTGCATAGATTTTTAGTTAAATTCGTTCAATTTCAAACGTACATACAAAGAATTGTATTGTATAGATGTAAGTGTATAGATACGTAGGTACGTGCCGCAAGGTATTTTAAAGTACTATTTATTGGTAATAACAAAACAAAAACGGATATATGAAATAAATCAAACCTTGTTACTAAAAGCTTTATGAATAGGAAAATAATTATATTCTAAAATCTATAGGTAATAATAAACCAAAAACATAAATCTGTTATCTTAGTAAGTACCTATACATACATATCTGTACCTTATATACAGGGAATAATTTACGTGACAATAAGAATTAATCTTTAAACGCCATTGTTCAATTTACATAAACTCCCTTAAGACCTATGTGTAGGCACATATCATAAGTAGGTAACTGTTTCTTTAGATAAGCCCCACGAGCGTTACAGAACAACATTGCAAAGCACTTCTAGTGACTTCAGAGATTTATAAGGAAAACTGTTTTCTACTTTTTAAATCACCTTTTATTCTCTTCCTTTTGTTATTATAATATACTCTCTCGACATGCCACCGTTTCCCTTAGGCCCTAACGACAGATTGAGATATTGTGATTGGGATTTTTTCTTGAAAACTCATCTCTGAAGAAAGAATAATCTAAAAGCTCTCAGAGAAAATGTTATTTCCGTTTAATGAAATAATTTTGCGGATTCCATCAATAATGAAGGAAATAATTTCTTATATCAAACATCATAAAATGCACCAATTTATGTATGTATATGTGAAGTACTTGAAGTTGAAAATCCATATAAAGTATTCTTATAAATGCGTAAATATGTTTGTTAGATTTTCTTTCGTTCACAGTCGATTGAATTTATTATTTGTATAGATATAGATTAATATTATTACTCTGGTCTATGAAAGTATCGATTTTATCGATATCAAATAAATATAAATTATCGATTAAAATATAAAATTATTATATGTTTAATGCGTAGGTATCTGTCAAGAACAGCTATAATGGATTTAATGTGTTTTTTTTTTAATATACTAAGATATAAATTATACCTAAGTTTTGCATTAATCAATTGGTTAGAACTAAAGATATGTACAGCACTTGAGAGTTCTACATTTTTTGCAGTTCTGTAAATGCATTGGGTCTATATAAATAGATATACAAAAGCTTATTAAATCGCAGGCAGCTCTGGTAATAAATAAATTATTTTTTATTATTATTTATTTTTATTTTTGTGAAGTACATTAACAATATATAATATATTCTTATATGAAATTTACTTATCTAATGATAAAAGATAAGTTTTCCTCGAACATGACATCAGCGTTGTAAAACCTATGGTGACGATGACTGGCATTTAACTTTTTCGTTCAATAACAAAAATATTATTCGCTTTATAACTTGACTCTAGATGTATTTATTTTAACTAATTTTAAGAGTAAATCCAAAATGTTACAACATATAACAATATACGTCGCAAAATAGCTAGCACATTTTTTACTTTATAAAATACCTACCGAATATACTTCGCTGAAGTCAGCATCGAATAAGTAACCTAAGTGTATGTAAGATTTTATTACTTTTTACATGTTTATTGCATACGTAACAATTAATTTTTACTGCAAAATATATCGACTTCAGTATCACTTAAAAGTTTTTTTTTTCTTAAAATGTATGTGGAATCATGCTTAAATGCATAAAGTAAGAATATTATTAAATCCGGTTCACAATAGACGAAAATATCAAATAACATGCACACAAAAAATCTTGAATTAAGAAACTGATTTTTCTTTAAAGTTGGTTAATAAATAGTAATTTTATAATATCCTAGTAAAGAGGAAGATAAAATAATGATGATATTCAACATCAACAATGCTGTAATTGCTAGTGCATGATTATGATACAAGGTGTAATTATATGCGTAAACATAACTGTAGTTTGGTCCAACGTAGCATCCTTTGGTACAGCTAAAATGCGAATGATCTTTTTATAGCTTCTTAGTTTTTTATAAATTAAAAGAAATATAGCAATAACAATGATAATGAAAACTTAAAAAAATTCATTAAAAGTTTAAAATAAAATGTTACCATATATTTATTATAATTATTGGAACTCTTTACCTTTAATGGAACTAAGACCAGTATATTCTTTATAATACTCCCGATTCATTCAGAAATATGGTTCGATAAATTTTAATTATCTTAAAATGTGCTCTAGAAATGGCTTTTAACACGATCAAAGAAATCCGGAAGTCTAGAAATTACTTAACTTAAAATACGTAATAATTGTAAACTTCTTATTATTGGTAAACCGAAAATATTGTTTCGACATATTTATATTAGGTTCTCAAAAACATTAAAATTTTCCTATAATTACCTTTTCATGTATAACACATAATATTACTGTCTCTTAAAAAACATTTAATTTAATTTAAGCTGATGAATTCATCTTACTGCAATAAGTACACATATTGGTTTATGGGCATTAAAGGTTCATTCGTACCTATATACGTTTCTAAGTTTGTAAACTGACAAGTGAAAGTTTAATCGACCACCCGAAGGTTTCGAGTCCACCTGCCTTTAGCATCCTGTTTGCTTTGTCGATGTTTTAGTACTTGTATGGTAGTTCTTATTAGACTTATGTATATATTATAACCATAAATAATAGTAAGGTGAACCGGTTACTACATTTTAGTTTTGTTTTTTTGCTTGTATTATTTATACAAATAATAGATATCACTAAAATTTAATACTTTTCTTTATTAAATACAAATTTAAGTGAAGATAATAATTTTTGAATCCTCAAGTCTTCTAGGATCTTCAATAAGAGAAATGCTGTATAATAATATAAATTTTCTGTTTATTTATTTGTCATATAGCTAATAACACCCATTCTGATAGAGGAGCAAACGTACTCTATGAGCAAACGTTAAATGTAAAACAGACTTTCATCAAGCAGGTAACTTTTGTTTTTTAATCTATACATATAATAAAATTGTAACAAAGCCGAATCTGTACATTAAATATTTTTTGGAAAATTTATTGAAATAGACATTATTATCGATACAGAAGCCGAATCCATAGTTTTTAGAATTTTTGTCTGTCTGTCTGTCTGTTACCACATCACGGTAAAACCACCGGAAGGATTTTGATGAAATTTGGTACAATGATAGCTGGTTATCCGGGTCAACATATAGGATACTTTTTGCCGCGGGAAAATATCTCATTTCTGAGAAAAAATACAAAAAATGCAATGTAAGAGTATACTAATATGTAAAACCTAAGAATTTGGTTTTTGGTCATCAGAACGCGGGTGGAGCCGCAGGCAATGCTAGTGCTCCTATAAGGTTTCCTTTTTTTATTGAATAAGTGGAAATTTGCGATCTTACTCGTCTCGACATCAGTCATGCACGCCAGCAGCAGCTCATTTCTATTCGCGATGTCGTCTGAAGTCCTCTTCATCAAGCTTGATGGTACCCATTACCCAGTTCATAAAGAGTTCATTTACTAATTTACTTAAAAGATTAAACTGAACCAATAGTACCATTTTGTTCCACCTTTTATTACGTATCTTTGTAGACATTGATTTTAATTCACCAAAGATAAGGATAATTTTTACGTACGCCAATTTCGGTTGGAAATTAGAACAAAATACATATAACGATAATAATACCGTTTTGGTCAAGTACTTGAAAAAGAAATATAAGACGGTGGCTTACGGTTGTCGGCGGAGAAAGATGTGCAGGCTTTGAGCAAAATTTCAAGATCTTTGGATTGCCAATTACCTTTTTATAAAATGTATAAGATATTAATCTTTCTATATGTATGATTATCAACTACGTATGTTGTTGTCTGACTGAATACCTGTATATACATATTTACAGATATAGCTACGTACCTATATCACAATATTAGATTTGTATGATAACGGAAATTTTTTGAAGATACCTACTGCAAATATCCATGAAAGTTTGCAAAGAGTCTAGTTGGTCTAATAATTAATTGGTCTTATTTGGTATGCATGAACGAATAAGTCACTCGTTCATGTTGGTATGCTATGATCAAAACAATCAATCTAAATATTTAATCTAAACGAATTGCCGTCCGTTGGATAGATTTGGCTTTTTTTGTAAATTTCGTGATAGTCCGAATAAAGGATAACAAAATTTCTCGGAAACTTGGGAAAAAATGAAAGTAATTTTTTTTCTATAGGATTTTTGTATGATCACAAACTTTATTGAGATTTGGACTGGGAAACGTCCGTCGGGTTAGTTCTGAAATACTTAAAATAATTATTTCAAAGACATATTTTGTTGAATGAATTTACTTTTTAGTGTTAATACGGTCTCTCATTTTCGAATAAAAAAGGCTGGCTGGCATCGTTCGAGCTCTAATTACACAAAACTGCAAAAAATTATAGTCGTAGTTATATAATTTTAAGAGGCTCAAAGATTACAAAATTTTTACCTGTTATTAATTCTTATCTCCGTATCTATTATATTAATAAAATTTAAGATTAAAATAACTAAGTATACAATAAATAAGATTCAATAGATTCTTTTTATATTTTTACCACCAGGTGCTTACTTGAAACACCTGTCAGTATCTATTGACATTATGATTTATCTTTTATGTCTATCATTTTTCACAATTATATTAAAAATGTTTGCTAAGAGTTTGTAGTATAGATATATTTTTAAATCTTTTTAGTTTTTTTTTTTAATATATTCAACGAAAACATAATCGAGAACTTTGTAGAAATATGGCAGGTGTGTCTTTATATAAAATTTGTCAGTTTTATTAAACTGAGTTTATTTTTTATGTTGTTTTTAATACATAAATATTAATATTCGTAGACGAAACTTCAGCCTTATTGAACATTAGTGACATGATAGACCTGGCTATAGGCACTCCAGAGGTAAGGCTATTCTAGTTATACATAAGGACATACATTATTTCACTAATAACACACTTGTATTCAGCCTTTTTTTTAACGTACCACTGATGGACACGGGCCTCCCGTCAGTATGAGGGGAATCAGGTCATAGTCCACCACCCAGGCCACGTGCGGGTTGGCAGTCTTCACATATATTCCGAAAACTTGCTAAGTTCCCTCAGACATGCAGGTTTCCTCACGATGTTTTCCTTCACCATAAGGCAAGTGGTAATCATGCTAGAAATGATTCGCACATGAAAATATCAGAGGTGCGAGACCCGGGATTTGAACCCGCATCACTCGGTTTCCCAAGCGAGCGCGTTACCACTGGGCTACCACTGCCTTTACATAAATAACACACTTATAATCATTTAAATAACATAAGCGCTTCATTTATGCTTTTTCTCTTACTTTGTTCTTATTACTTTGTCATTTTATCTCTAACACCAAGATAATACTTGTATCAGCTCAACTCAGATTCCTCTTTAATTAATTTAATATATTGTACTATAAAAGAAGATTTTATAAAAAAATAATAATATATACATATGGGAAATACAATCATTATAGGTGGGTGTAGTAGATTTTGGGATGCTCCACACGGTGCTTCACTGTCTCGCACAACAAATGCGTGTATTAGATAAGAACGTAGAGTTACGAGGTAGTGTGGCGGCATTGCCCTATGGACGAGAAAACGTTCGGACTATCACAGTCAATGAATATATAATGGACACCAACGAAACGGCAAGTAGAAAAGTCAATATTATTGTACGCCTATAAATTTATTGTGTTTTTTTTTAATAAGAACAATTGTAATAATTCTTATCTGTATTATTTATTTTAAAAAAATTCCACTGTTGTAATTGACGGCACGTTTGGCTCAGTTTGTAGTGATCCTATTTGCTGTGCCAGCCGTTGCGGGTTCGAGTCCCGCTGGGGGCATTCATTTGTGTGATGAGCATGAATGTTTGTACTCCAGTCATGGGTGTTTATGTTTCTAATATGTATGTATTTAAAGTTATATATGTGTAGTGTATCAACTATCTGGTATATATAACACAAGCCTCGTAGCTTACTATGGAACTAGATTGTGATGTGTGTTAATGTCCCAACATATTTATTTATTATTATAATTTATTATTTATTTTACATTTTTTTCCACTGTTCTAAAAATGGAAAATATTTAAATAATGAAGTCTTTGCAAAAACACAGAAAAATATAATATAATATTTGTGAATAGCGAAATCATAATGATCTTCCTAGTCTTTTCATACATTACAATCTCTCACGAATGTACTCTATTATAGAGCTTTAAAACTGTTTGTGTGGTCGGTACTATTCACAACCGGATGATCCCGGATTTATGAAATGAATTTATTTCTGATCCATGCAATCGTTATTGCGTTTGAACTTTATGTTTTAGACATTTTCAACGAATCCAGCAATCGATTTCTGTAAACTTTATCATACAAAGCTGTACTGTTAATTTTACTAAAAATGTAGAGAAGAGTATTATAATTTGGAACAAATAAATTAAAAGTCACAAAATTAAACAATAAGGGATCACAAATGCATTAAACTTTTGCTCTGATAGTCTTACCACTTAGGTACCAGTACCAACATATACATATTACATAGGTACTGTACGATAAATACGTTTTTACAATATTCTATTGAATTTATAGTTATAACAATTACACTCATACCACGGTAATATAATGCATATTACCGTGCTCATACTAAACACATTTCAAAGTAAGAATTCTTCATCTTATTATCTAGTTCTAAATGCCTTAATGATTTTGACAATTTGGTTATTTCAAACGATCAGAAAAGGTCAAATTCCTTTTCCTCAATTAATTCTAAATTGGTTTTACATAGTATTAGCCTATTTCTGAGTTCACGCACCGATAGACGGCCACGGTACCAAATGATTCATTCAGTTTATATTGCCAATCTTTAATTCTGTATTTTTTTTTCTTTTTATAATTTAATGCTTCAAAGGATATTAGAACAATTACTTTGTGTTACGTATAAACGTTCAAAAGAATAAAATTATTCTTAACTTAATACTTTATTTAACTTTGGTGCGAATATTTGACTGTTTTTTAAATAAATCTATCTTTTGTGTATTTTTGCGACTTTATCGCGAAATAAAAAAGTAAAATAAATCCACGAAAATATCTGAAAAAAATCTTTTATTTGTTTTTCGCTATGAGTAAGATATTTATTACATAAGATATATAATTTCAGAATCCAGATGAAAAAATTCTAAAAAAGGCCGCGCTCAGTGAGTTTTATTTATATTTAACATTCATCACCATCACCATTAACATTACATAACGTTTGAAATTATTAAAATGCATGTATATAGAACATTATATTAACTAATTTTAATTGCAGCTCATCCACCACCAGGTCTTCCTACTGATCAAGAAACAATTTTAGTCGGTAATAAAACTAATATATTATTAACTGAAACTTTTTATATATTCTATATTGTAAATTTATGTGTAAGTTTTATAATTTGTTTTTTTTTTCTTAATACAGTGGAACGAATAAAGAAGAAACCAAACAAAGGTAACCTAAAATATATCTAATTCTAAAATAAAACTTTTAACGTTTTAAAAGACAAATATTTGCAATTTGTATAACTTGCAGGTCGCAGCCCTACACGCACGCGTTCTCCTCCTGAAACCTCGCAAGCCCCTTCTCCTCCACGGGAAGTTACATCTACAGAGAAACTATCTCTCGTCACAATCAGCAAATTTAACGTTCTTGAAAGCGCCGTTGAAGATCTAAAGAATCGTGTTTACGGCAGTATTCCTACAAATGAAGACATTATTGAGGAAGTCAGGTTTTAAAATTAATGCCGTTATTTTAATATTTTTTTGCTATTACCTACAACTAATTTTGGTGCTTCCATTCTATAGCTAGACCCCCCGTCCCGTGGCCGGAGATAATCTAGTAAAACATCGCGATTTTTTTATTAAAACTGCTTGTAGCAAAAAACTATAAAGTTATATCCAATGTTATAAAAGTAACAAATTCATAATTTACGATCACGGTTGGTCCAATATATTAAAAATTCAGTCGATTCTTATTACATTTCCTAATAATCCTGTTTTAAAAACACAATATTTCGTTTTTGAAGTGTAACTTCTTTAGAATCGATGTGATTTGAAACTCGATGAAAGGGAAATGCGGCACGAAGAAGAGACAAACACATAGATATATAGGATAAAGCCGGCGAGAAAGTGAGATAGAATGCATTATACAGGAAGTCAAAAATAATACTGAATAATGTGTTATTATGTAACGTAATATATGTTAAATAACTTTTAAACTTGGTAAAAAAACTAAACTTATTACTTATTATAAAAATGAATATTACTGTGGGATGAATGTGCATAAATTAAATAAAACCTATTATGACTAATTGTTGCCATGGTAACCGTTGTTATTGTCTGACAAATATATATTATAATATTTTATTCTTTCCGTTTAAGATATACCATAAATATATGATTCTAATATGCCTAATATGTCTTATTTAATTATTGATTTGTTTTAATTTAATAGCGATATTTGCCAAAAACGTTTCACTTTACCGTGAGTGAATTGTTTACACACAAACTTTTATTTTTTTTTAATTAAAGTGAAATACATTTAATACCCGACACTATGTTCACAGATCACAAACAAACCTCAAAGCCATAACAGACATGTGGACATCTCTAAATGTATCATCTAGATTAGAAGCAGCTGAAACTGGTATTGCTAAACTAAGCTCATTGGTACAAGACGTACTAACTAGCTCTACGGGTTTGCAAGACATTCAACATCGGCCATCTATAGCGTAAGAATAAATACATTTTCGTATTTATTATTTTTTGAAATGTTTTATAAGCGTTTCACAAAAATTCTCTAAGTAGAAAGTAAATTGATTTGAAAAAAAAAACTCTTGATTTCTTACAGACCGTCCGACATGACAGCTCCTTCAACCATAGCCCCTCATCCTTCAACTCCAGCACCAGTACTTGAACCATCGCAATTAGTACCACAAACGTCAATTATAGGGGAAGCAGCCAGTAAAGAAGAATTAGCTACTATGCAAGCCCATTTAGATCGCTTACGAGGAGATCTGGAAAATTTGACGAATACCTTTTATTCTGCGTTTGGAGACTTACATACTGGTAAGTCTACTTTAAAATTAATCAATAATCATTGACAGTTTATTGGATTTATGGAGTAAGCCTATGTATGAATTCAAAATATACTTATACCTTCTCCCCCATTGTGATTAAATTATTTAGAGTTTTGAAGTAACATAGTTAGTAATTCTTAATAGTTCGCATTATAAAATTACCTGGGATATAAGCAAATCGAATTGAGTGAATCATCAGATAAAATTGCCACTATGATATTTTATTTCTAACAGACGCTCCGTCTCAACCAGCGCCAGGTGCAATTATTGCTCCACCACCTCCACCTCCTTCAGGTATATTTTTTTTACTTTATTATCATATTAAAATTAAAGTTCTAAATCTTTTATATAAAATTAAAAAATACTAAAATTTGTATACCTAATTCTAGATAAATTATTTCCTATAGGTATATGTAAATGCTATTTTGTTTTCCTTAAAAACTGAAACATATTCAATTATTTAAAAAAAATCTATATTATTTTTTAAATTATTAAATCATTCCTCAAAAACATTATTAAGTATATTTTCTAAATATTTTAATTCGATTACAGCGAATGTCCATCGGTAACATGACATAGCCACGGCTAGAGCTAGCTAGCCGCTTGTGTGATATATACATATGTAAAGCATGGAACAATTATAAATATAACATCGCAGCAGCTAAATACTTATTCTTAAATTTTATATTATATAACAATACTTATAAGTATATTGTAAATAAGTTCTGAAACATCCAATTTTATATTCTAACAGAGAGGGGACAATCAGAATTGCCGCGCCGATTTTCAGCAATAACTGCAAGTATAATGGAAAGAGTTAACGATTTAGAAAAACGTCTCAATAAATGTTGTGATAGCATTGGAAAGAACGATGGCGTGATTCAAGATCAGGTAAAAAAGCAGCTACTGCCTGCTTTTTTTTACTCTTTACGAGCCTTTGCCTGCGGCTCCACTTATATATCTATTACGCTTCTGCCTCGGTGGTGTAGTGGCTAGCATGTACGGCTGCACACTCGGAGGTCCTGGGTTCGAGTCCCGGGTCGGGCCAAGTTTAGTAATTGAGTCTTTCTGTATAGTAAGCCTCAGTAACAACAGCCCGGAGTTGGGAAGTTGGCGGTGTTTCACCCCGCGCGCCCTAATTCTCACCGGTCGTGTCGAGTAGTGGTCCCACCGGAGTATGAGAATGACAGGAATAGAGAGTGCACTTGTCTCTGCGCGTACACTTGTGCACTATAATATCTCCTGCGCAGTTGGCTAGTATCGATGAGATTGGCATCCGTAGCCGGAATCGGCCAGGAGAACATCATCATCATCATATCTATTACGATATCGTAATAACGCTTATGTGCCATTTCCTGGTATCACCTTTCCCTGGATAAAAAATAGTGTCACTCTACCCTACATTCTATACGTTAGAGAAATTCCCATCAAAATCGGTTCTAGAAATTAACCAGCACAAACAAAGACTACATCTATACTAATATTATAAAGAGGTAAACTTTATGAATTATGAGTTTGTGAGTCTGTGGCGTTGTAAGGGGTAATCTCTGGATCTACTGAATCGATTTAGATGAAATTTGATAAGAAGATAGGTTGAAACCCCGGGAATGACTTAGGATACTTTTTATCCCGGAAATCCCTTAAGGAGGCGAAAATGGGGATGAAAGTTTGTATGGGGAATCAACCTAGAGACGAACCCGAGCGAAGTGTGAGTCACTAGTATTAGATTATTTTGAATTCTGATCAAAAAAATAAACCAGTTGAGTACTTTCAGATACCATACCTACATTAAACGTACAATATTTGTATATAAAATAAACCGACTCATTATAACAGTGTATGATGTATATGTATGTACATTGTACAATGTACATGGTATTATAAATTATACTTATGTACAATGACTATATGCCTTAAAAGGCACTACTAACAGTAACTAGTAGAAACTAATAACTGTTACAGATTATTTCATTCCAAGATCAATTGGAATATTTAATGAAACAAGTGGCAGCGCTAACAGACGAGTTGGCATCTGGCAAATTATCGCCCGACCTTATAAAGGATTTGCAGGGTATGATAGCATTCATACGCCGTTATGTCTATCTTTTTACTCTTTTTACCAGCACTCAATTTCACTAAATCCTTAATAGTAGTAATAAATTAATAAATACATGTTTTTTTTGTATTCATTGCTATAAGTATGTATATCAATATACGTAAAATTCCAAGTTCAATATTTTTTATATAATGTTCTATAACCTTAGTCTCTCCCGTGACCATCATTAAAATCCGAAAAGATAGTTTTATTTAAAATGTCAAATATTTGCGTAAATCTAAGAAAGTATAAAATTAATTATATTTTAACAAAATAAATGTTTGTAATAATACTGTTAATTTAAATTATTATCATCATTTTGTTAACATAATGGAGATAAAACTAAAATATATTTCAGGGTTGATGAAACTTTTCCAAACGGTACAAGAAATGCAAGAACAACTGAAACAAGTACATGAAACAGCGCTTCAGCTGGCCACCGAAAAAGAAGACCGACAATATCATATGAATGTAAATGATAAAAATACATAATTAATGTATAAATATATTACATACTAGCATTGCCCGCGGCTCCGCCCGCGTTCAGATGACCAAAAACCAAATTCTTAGGTTTTACATATTAACATACTCTTACATTCCAGTTTTTGTTTTTTTCTCAGAAATGAGATATTTTCCCGCAGTAAAAAGTATCCTATATGTTGACCCGGATAACCAGCTATCGTCATACCAAATTTCATCAAAATCTATCCTGTGGTTTTCTCGTGATGCGGTAACAGACAGACAAACAGGCAGACAGACAAAGATTCTAAAAACTATAGATTCGGACTGTATCGATAATAATGTCTATTTCAATTAGATTTTCCAAAAAATATTTAATGTACAAATTCGACTTAGTTACAATTTTATTATATTTTAAGATAATTTCTTAATATTCTGCACTCATATAACATTAAAAATAAATTCTTACAAAAATTCACATACATTCCTGCATTATAATATTTTTTTATTTTTTAAGTTATGAACTTTAGATTACAACTTCCTTCTATTCTTTTTATTTTACAACTATAATAAAAATTTTGCTTATAAACTATTTTATTTATATTTTTTTTTATATTTTATTGCTTGTTTTGCGAATTAAATGTTCCCGGATAGGGCATGGGTATCGTATCCAAAGACTAATAAAAAGTTGCAAGTAATATAAAAAAGTAATGAAAAAATTAAATTAAATAATTATTCCGCACACTTGTAGGCTCTTCTAGAACAAATCGAACTACTAAAAACAATAAAACTCGACCGCGAAGATATGATAGAAGCAATGGCTGAAAAGGCAGACCTAAGGATGCTGGCGCGAAAAGTATCACACGACCAATTCGAACTCGCATGTGACGATCTATCGCGAGGTTTAGAACATGCTATAGGAAAAGTTAATACACAGGTACCTATTGATTTACATGTATTAGTTATTTGTCGTCATATTCACCTAAGAATTTAACGCTATTTTTGAAGTTATACTTCTTTTGGCACCTTTGGAAAAAAATATGAGAGTAATTTTTTTGCGATGCGCGCGCACACCGACTACCAAAAAGCGACATGATGAAGTTATCTGCATTCGTTTTACAAACAGAGAGTTCTGACATACGGGATGAAGTCTTTAGCTATTTTTGTTCTGTTACGCCAAAACAGTATAACTTCTTACGTGCGTACATTACACACATACACACACATATTTTTTTTGGTAGTAAAGATATTTGTTTATTTATTAAACTATATAATATTATGTAATAAATAATAATCACTTGAAAGTTAAAAATGTAGTCTTAAGCTAGTTAAAACTACCCTATTATGTTATTATTGTTGTTTATGTTTATATCTTAAAATTACCCTAAATGATTAGTCTAATAGAAATTGCATTTCAGGAAACATTATGGCAACAAGCACTGGACGACATACAAAGGGAGATAGAAATGAAGCTAGATAAGATGGAACTATCGCCGGTAAAGGAATTCTTCAACACGAAGTTACGATTGTTACAAGATAACTTGAAGCAGATGGCCGCTCTTAGAAAAGAAGTAGAGGCGGCTGGTACCAAACGACGCTTATTACGGTATTATATTGATACATTTTAAATATCTCCAACTATAAGGTCCGACATAAGGAGAACGATCTTCAGTTGTATCACATACAACACGGACGTCCCGTAAACCCGTAAAATGTAAGCTTTTTTAAGAAAAAAAACTTCATATATTCTGTATCATAGCGTGGATCTACTGTATTATTCTCTGACTTCTTCAAGGATAAACGATTAACTAATATGATAATTTTATTATTATGTATATGTATGTTATGTATATATAATAAAAATATATATGGTAAAACTAGTACTTTATGTATGTAAATTTTTATGTTTATTTATATTGAGTTTTAATGATTTGCACTTTATGCACCTTTCCGCTCACTTATTTTCTTATATCCTTTTCTATCGGTTGCCTGTAAGAGATCAGTTTTAGTGATAAAGGCCGCCTTTGCACATATCTTTAATTGTATAATATTTTTTTATGTTAATGTACGATTTTCTTGTGCAATAAAGTGTTATAAATAAATAAATAAGATGTATAAGAAATATTTTGTACCTAAAACTAAAAAAAAACAAATATTTAAAAAAAAATACTATAATCTAGTACGTTATGTCATATTATGTGCTAAATTCAAGATTATTTTTAGTCACATTGTGTACCTATAGGTACATAGATCTGGCATTTACCATTTTAGACCAAGTGAATCCTTGTAATAAATTATTTGTTTAAGACATACATAACTCAATACCTTTAATTTATTTGTAATGCGAATTATATTTATTACCAACTTCCATAGGAGCATGGATTTCAAAGAAATAGCTGACACAAGTCATAAATTAGACACACCAATGTAATAATCTTTTTTGTCAGATGTGTTTCTTAATCTTTCTATGCTTATGTAACTACACTCTTAATTTTTAATAATTTTAATGGCTTATATAAACAGTAAACCTACCATTTAAATAATATTTAGTTTAATATTTTATAATTAAATTCACTTTTTGTCCAATAATAAGTAAAATTTATTGCTACATTTATTACAGATTGCTATTTAATGCGATATCATCAGGAATTCTTTTTTTTAAGTCCTATACATTTTTTTTTTAATTTTACTCCTCTTATTATGTTTAACAAACAGGGATGTGAACTGCATATCTTGTGACGCGAATGCTGTAATGCCGATGGAACCGCCTTCCACTGTGCCAGTTAGCAGACCAATGCCACCTAATATCTCTATGAAGCCATATCTTAGTTATGAATTGGGTAAATATATTTTTTAATTAGTTTTAAGTTTTTAGATTACTATATAATAAAAATCTAGTAAAAAGTTAAGCTTTGAAAGTCTCAATAAAGTCTATACTGTGTCAAATATTCGTCGAACACAAAATACTTAGACATAATGCCACACAGCTAAATTGTACGCTAAATGGTAACAAAAATATTTGGTTGAATGGGAATCCAACCTACCACCATGGAATATAAGGTAATTTTATTTATACCATAGTGTAACAAAAAACATCAGTTTCTATCTACCTATTTAGCGCCATAATTTTAAGTCTACTGAAACTGGTCTATTTAAATGTTTCGCTAACTAGTTAGCATCAAATTACCGTTTGAATATAACTTTCTCATAATAGATGCAATAAGAAAATCGCAAACGAACGTTCCGCAGAGAAATCTACACGACTGGGAGAATATAGACAAGCAAATGACACAACAAAAACAACCACAAAAACCTAGGTAGATATAGAAAACAAGATAATATTTTAAAAGAATTTTCAAGCTTTATAGTACTTTGTTCTTAGGTAAACTTTTAACAGCAGCGGCATTTCGTTATAACTTCTAATTGCGTTGAACTGTTCGCTGTTGGAAAACCATTGTCTAGAAACTAGTTGCTAGTTACTCGTGATGAAAAGAGGCTGTCTTCATCTCTGTACAATTTAAATTCTATTTAAAACGATTAAGTTGAAATCGTAATCAATTTATGTAAATTAATAATAGATATATGTATACTGTATGTATTTTTAAACCTTTTGACGGTGATTAGATTTATAGTAGTTTACATTATATTATTCACTAGCAATGCTTGCGACTCCGCCCGCGTTCAGATGACCAAAAAACCAAATTGTTAGGTTTTACATATTAGTATACTCTTACAATGCAGTTTTTGTATTTTTTCTCAGAAATGAGATATTTGCTCGTGGTAAAAAGTATCCTATATGTTGACCCGGTTATCCAGCTATCATCATACCAATTTTCATGAAAATCTGTCCAGTGGTTTTCTCGTGATGCGGTAACGACATTCTGTCTGCAGCAACAGACAGACAGACAGACAAAAATTCTAAAAACTATAGATTCGGACTCTGTATCGATAATAATGTCTATTTCAATTAGATTTTCCAAAAAATATTTAATGTACGGATTCGACTTAGTTACAATTTTATTATATGTATAGATTAAAACATACAGACATTTTATCGACGTACCTACGAAACGTGTGGAGCCGCGGGCAAATACTAGTAGAATTGATGTCCTCCTGACTCATTTCGGCCACTACGCAGGAGATATTATATTGCACAAGTATGCGCGCAAACACAAGTGCATTCTCTATTCCTGTCACTCTCATATTCCGGTGGGACTACTATTCCACATGACCGAGCAGTGACAGTTAAGGTGCTGGACCAACGACAACCAAAAGGCGACGGCTTTACCTACTCGCCGAGGCACGGGAGTGAAACACCGCCAACTTCACAACTCCGGGCTGGGCTGTTATTAAGAATTTCTTGACAGAAATACTCAATAATTGAACTTGGCTCCACCTGGGACTCGAACCCAGGACCTCCGGATCTACAGCCGGACATGTTAGCCACTAGACTACCGAGGGAATTGAGCAATAATAGAATAGTAGGTACACGAAACTATAAAGTAAATGTTAACAATAACAATATAAAAGGCCAGACAAGCACATCTGCAACCGCTACTGCGGCGGCTCTCATACCGTCACGACGGCGGCGCAGCGTGTGGCTCGACTCGGACACTTCATCAAGCAGTGGGGTCCCGACGTCGTGCCGCTATCCTCGGGCCTGGCCGCTGGTGAAGATGGAAGGGTAAAAATGGCTACTTTTTTATTATTTTGTTAACTAGTGACTTACCGTTGTTTTGCTTAGCTGCGTCCCTAGATGCCTAACGTAGGCTATGTGTTTCTGTCCGTATTATGTATATCTATGTGGGTACTAAATTTTATCCAAATTCTACAAACCGTTTCAGAGTAAGGAGTAACAAACATATAGACACACATACAAACTTTCGCATTTACAAGTGAGTAGGTTTAAATAACAAAGAGGTCACAGATTGTATTCACACCGTGATTTCCAAAACCACAAGCGTTGAAAACAGGCGCGGATCCAGAGTTAAATTTTGGGGGGGGTCATAGGCTGAAATCTACATATAATAAAACAGTAACTTAGCAAAATCTGTATATGAAATATTTTTTAAAAACTATTGAGACCAGGCGCGGGTCTAGGTTTCAGTTGGGGGGGGGGGGTGTCAATAAAATCAAGGCCTTAAGTTTTATGGCTTAATTATAAAAATATATTAAGCAGGTATATAAGGAACAAAATCCCGTAAAACGCCCCCGCTGTCCAGCTACCCCCGAGAAATGGGGGGATGTAAAATGTTGAAATATTCTTTACAAAAGTTGGGGTGATTTGAAGTCTCCCGAGACCATACAATATAAATTTCTCGAAAACGCCTAAACATTTCAATTTCAAAAAAAAAGATTATTATATATATTATTAAAAATCGTTTTGTTTTGGAAATAGTTGAAAACTTTGAGGTTATTATAAAAGTCGTAGATTTTTAATAGACCTACAACTTTTGTACAGAATACTTTTCGTTAGGATGTCACAGCTAGGCAGAAATTGAAAAAAAAACTATTTTTAAACGGTTTGCTATACTTGTCTTATTTGCTATAAATATCTTAAAAACATAAAACTTCAGGTTTTATTTTTTTGTGTAGCACATCGCGATCGGACTATTTGTATAGCGCTATTTATTATTTAAATTAAAGAAAAACTTAACCCCCATGACCCCCCTCCCCCTGGATCCGCGCTTGGTTGAAAAACAAAAAAGATATACATGAGATTCTTTGATCAATAAATTAAACACAATTTTATAAAAACATTTATAAAATAAAACATACATATATATTATATACTTACGTATGTCCTGTACCTACTACCTACCTACATATCATACTAGATGCACGCCAGTCTATACAGATAAATAAAATTGAAGAGTCTGCTTGTAATGTCAAAATAAAAGCTTTTTTACCAATTGCATAAGAAATTATATTCGGTACTTTTAAGAAAAATACAACTTAAAAAAAATTCTGCCTGTCTGTTGGCTCCGGCTAATCTCAAAAACGGCTGGACTGATTTTGACGGAACTTTCACTGGCAGTTAGCTAATGTTATAAAGAGTAACTTACGCTATTTTTATTTTAAAAAAAATTGAGTGCCGCTCAAAAAAAATTAAACGTACCTAGGACTGCGCCCGAGCGAAACGAGGTAGTAGTAAATAAGTAAATACCGAAGTCGGCCTCATAATCAAAAACTCACATTTATTTTATTTTTCTTATTATGTATAGTTGTTTATTATTAATTACTGTTTAATTTGATTTTTAATTGAAATTTCCTAATGTAATTTACAGCTCTATAAAGTGAGTCCAGCGGTGGAGGCAAATATTGAATCTAGTAAGTTTTAAGTTTTTACATACCTATATTTGAAATGGGTGTTATTTAACAGTTGTGATAGTTTTCAGTTTTGAGAGAATTTGTGTAGTGGCAAGCATATTGGCGATGATTAATTATTATTATTCACAAAATACGCTTACAACGTTGTGCTTTTATTTTAGTATTTTACACTTGAATATATGTAGATATTATATAGCTCCATTTAGAATTCGAGCTCTTGTGTAAACGAGCTCGGTAGTGTCTCTCAGTTCCACCATATTATAATATTTGTTTATAGTTCATATTATTCTAAATAAGTGATAACATATTAGATTAATAATTCATTTGTTCAGGTGCAATGTCAGATCCCTCTTGTACTCCAAGGTATTCGAAGAAGGGCGATCAACCTAAATCACCACAAAAACCTATATTGATAGGCGCTGTAAGTATTTAATTTTTTTTATACTACACCATCGCTTCGCTTGAGTTCGTCCCTAGTGAAAAACGAATCTGTCCCACGGGAACCGTACATTTTTCGGGAATAAAAAGTATTATTTTTTTATTTCTGGACCACATTTAATCCCGTTCTGGGGTGATTGAGTAACAAACATCCCATCCAAACCAAACTTTCGCATTTATAATATTTATGGGGTTATATATTTGTCATAAAATATATTTAAATACTTGTTTCCTACAAGTCACCAAAAGACACAGTACTATAGTAGTACAGTTCTATGTGTTATTTCGGAGCTCTCTTTGGGTTATTCTTGATTGCTTAGGTAGACGTGTCGACATCCCATATCTATACTTATAGATTAAGTGTCTAACTCAAAGTCGGTCAAAAATAAATATGTTTTTTTATTAATGTTTTTGATTTTAGGCGGAGTGTCGCTGTTTGGACGGCGGTAAGTGAAACTTAGCAAATACTGTAGCGACTTACCTTTGCTTCGCTGGGGTGCGTCCCAAAGTACGTTTTTTTTGAGTGGAGTCCTAATTCTTTTTCTAAAATAAAAGTAGCCTAAGTTACTCCTTATAACATCAGCTATCTGCCAGTGAAAGTTGCGTCAACACCAGTCCAGCGGTTTCGGAGATTAGCCGGAACAGACAGACAGTCAGACAAAAAATGTTAAAAATTGTGTTTTTCTTATAAGTACCGTATATAATTTCATATGCGTATATGCTAATATAATTTAGTAAAAAGCTCTTATTTTGATCTTACAAACAGACACTTGCAATTTTATTTATCTGTATAGATAGGTAATTATATATTTTTTAATTAATTTATTATTATTAATTACATTTTTAGTATATTTGTGACTCCAATCTGTGTGTTACATATAATTAATAAGAAATCGAGGTTAGAAGGTAATCACGGCCGTAGTACCCTAGATAATCTTTATATATATAATTCTTCTGTGAGTGTGTATGTCACTGAACTTCTCTCAAACGACTGGACCGATTTTGATGAAATTTTTTGTGTGTGTTCAAGGGGATCTGGGAATGGTTTAGATTCACAATTTGAATAATAATTTTCATCAAAAAAATTATTAAAAAAAGTTTGAAATTTTCAAATTAAAGACGTGTAGACAGGACAACGTCTGTCGGGTCCGCTAGTATGATATAATATATCAAAAGTATATTTTTTTTCAGAACAACAAACAAAGGGTTAAATGGATTATTTATATACTTTGAAAAAACACGAAATATATTTTAAAAGAAAATTAACATGAAAAATTGGTTAAATTGTTTTATTGGTAAATCAATTACCACATCGTACCTTATAAAACATCGATACAACTTTACATTTCTAGTAATGTAGATAGTAACACAATCTTCAAAGATCCAAGTGTTCTTAACGAAAATTATTTAATTCGCAAGTAGCTTACTTATAATTAAAAAATGTTAAACATCTAATATTTACAAATTAAAGGAAAATTACAAATTATACCTTACGTAATACAAATGGGGGAAGCGAGTGACAACATATACTGTACGTATGTATGTATGTAGATATACCTTAATGCTTGTAATGTGTTAAACAATGTCTGCGCACATTCTACACTTTAAACTATATTTTAGTAGAAAATCAAAACTATTACAGACTCTAAAACATTACAAATTGAGATTTAATGTCACTGCCAACCGTTGATACTAAAGTACAAAAATGTGCACAAACCTAAACTTATCCCACTGGGTAAATGCTGTTAAAATTTCATTCCCAACTATAAAATGATCATATTTATATAAATAATCCATTGATTGTATTTAAAGAGGTTGATAAGTTTAATTCACTTAATTGTAAAACCAAATTATTGCTAAGACTCATTTAGCAACTGTCTACCAGAGTGTGTTCCATTCAACAATCACAATGAAACAAATGAGATGTTTTTTCAAAGACAAGAAATATTAATTGATGAATATAAACACATCAAAAGAAAAAAATTAAAGAAATTCAAAATGATTTAGATTAACTTTTTTCCTTTTTATTTTTGGGTTGTGGTCGTTTTATGAAAAGCATCCAGCATTTACTTGTATATTCTAAACTGAATTGTATCAATACACTCCCTAATTGCTGATTCACAATAATTTATCTACCTAGTGTTGATTAATACACAAATCTTATATACAAGTTATTTTCTGTACTAAACTATGGAGGGTAGAGGTATGGAGAACCATCTTATATGGGAGACAAGTTGAAACCTTTAAGCACGTAATAAGTTCAAAAACCCACTAGAATGACGCTAGCTTAGCAAGAGTATTAGAATTTAGAAGTCGTAAACGGAGTGAAGTGTGTAGAGTTGAAAAAAATAATATTTTGGGTGACTTGAGTAGTTATTGAAACTATTTATATAGTCCCAAAATAATTTAGTAAAAAATATAAGCCAAAAAACTGTGGTGATATAAATGTAAGAGTGCTTTATTTTCTGTGAACTTTTAATAATACTCTTGGCGGTTTCTTCAAAATTTACTCTGTTGCTACTGTAGTGCCACCCTTATTTAACGCCTTTTGATGGATACTTTTTCATCATAGAGATAGTTCTCCTTACCTCTACCTTCCATACACTAAACATATATTTAAGAATATTAGTGTGCAAATTAATATGATGTTTGACACATAATTACCCCAGATCCAATATACAGAACTAATAAAGAATACACACGAGCTAGCTTCCGAAACGGGCACGCACGGCTTTAGGAATTACAACAAATGTCAAATAGAACATTTTCTAAAAAAAAGTACATTTCGAATTCGAAAATCGAATAACGGCTTAGATAAAACATCAATTTACTTCAAATGAAAAAAAGTGTAAATTCAATACAATTCCAATTTTTTCATCATAATCTGATCTTAGTTCCTGAGTAACCGTGCCTGTATAGAACCTCTTTACGGTCATTTAAAAGATCACCCGTTTCTTTTATTTGATAAATTCAGCAAGTAGAAAGATTCGGCAGTAACTCGAGTATCTAAGTATACATAATCTAAGGAGTTGTTTGATTACATAAGATTCTTCATTAAACTAAATTTAATGTACACATAATATTTAGATCTGGGATTAAATTTAGATGTTCCAAACCTGTTTAGGATGTGAAAATATAAAGTTTTCTTGAATCTACGATAACTTTGATTATAGATTAGACGGCAACAACTATTTTTAAAACAGCATGATCAAAGTCCTATTTTAATGGAGAGTCCCACACACTTTATATACATAAATGTACTGTCACTAATAAAATCCTTTTCTTTTTGTTTTCAAACTTCCTCCCAATGTCCAAAACATTTGATATCTTTTGTAATTATAAAAGTAATATATAACTCAAATTGTTAAACTGCTGTCAATTCTATAATCAAAGATATATTCGAAAGGTATACAAATAATATTTTAATTTTAAACAGTAATATTTGTTGTTGTCAAAAATATTATTCTAATGATTTTCTTTATTGAATACAATCATAATTTCTAAATATGAACTTTAATTTACATGTCAATTTTTTTTAACAAGAAGTTAAACCCATACAAAAAACATACAACCCTTGTGAGTTCGTCGAAACTTGCCAATCTTTAAGAATTTCTTGGCAAACTGATAGCCAAGTTAGATTTTCTGAAATTAACAATTAAACTGCAATTTAACAATCAAAGTGGTCCTATTCTATGCAAGTTCAACGGTGTCGTCCTCTAGCACTGTAGTGGTTACCGTCGCGACTGTACCGACGCTCCTTGGGGTCGCGGGCGCCTCGGGACCGGTCGCGCCGGTCGTGGTCGCGCGACCTCTCCTTATCTCGGGACGATTCGTGATTCCTATAAACAGAAGAAATAGTTAAAACATTTTTATAACTTTTTTTTCTAATTGCAGGACATATTATAGTGCACAAGTGTACATGCAGACACAAGTGTAATCTCTATCTCTTGTCTATTCTCTATGTATGATCCTGTTACTCTACAATTCCAGACGATAATTTTACACGACCACTGAGATCAGTAAAATACCATCAACTTCCCAACTCGAGGCTGTTACTCGGACTTCTTAAAAAAATAACTCAATAACTAAACTTGGCCCAACCGCGGACTCTAATCCAAGATCTCCTGACTGAACACCGAAGCAGGGATAAATGATAATACAATGATGAACAGACAAAAGGTAACAGAACTATCATACCTGGACTCTCCAGCTGACCGGCTATCGCGCGATTTGCGTCGAGACGGCGTACTAGCGGAGCGTGACCGAGGCGACCTCGACCGCGACCGCGACTTGCGACTCTTCGGGGAACCGTGCTGGGATTCCCGCTCACTGTTCAAATTGAAATCGTCGAACCTATAAAATTAAATAATTATATTATCGAACTGCTATTTTAATTGCGAGTATGTCTGTATATATTTGTTACATAAATGAATAAAAATAAGTATGTTCTGATATTAACACACGGCACCATCTAGTTCCAAAGTAAGCTACGAGGCTTGTGTTATGGATACCAGATAGTATTGAGAAAGTAAATTAAAATTTTAAAATGATGAATAAACGGTTATTATAGTGTTGACTCTGTAATGTATTTAAAAAATATTATCTTTACTAAATTGATACTAACTTATTTTTGGGAGCTTGCGATCTTGATGAACTATGACTAGAACTTGAACTCGATGATGAACTAGACGACGACGATGAACTTCGAGACCTAAAGAAATCAAAGATAAAAAAATCATAATGAAAATATATCATTTGAAAATATATTAAAAGTCAGTACATAATACAAATTTATTATTTTTATTACCTTTTCCTATTTTTTACATCTGATTTTCCATTTTTTTCTGAAGGATTTGAAGAGCTGTCTTTTGATGTGTCTTCATCCTTTTGTTTATCATCATTATCTGGAAAAAAATAGAATTAAATAAATAATTACGTATTAGTCATGAATTCATTGTATACTTAAATCCGCTCTGAAATAGTAATACTAAGTGTTTTAATTCCATAATCTACACCGCTAACCCATTTTGGAAGAGTTGCCTTCTTCCCCGTCGCTGCCCCATAGATCATACTTAGAGAGATCTGCATCATCTCCAGACTCCTCCTCATCATCTTCTTCTCCACCAGCCTGGTTTTCTTGAGAAGCAGATGTTCTAGGCTGAAACAAAATAAAATATAGCCACAAAGTCTTTAAACTTGCAGACATATTAATAAAACTTCATGCTATCTGACAGGACAAGAGAGTCACATTAATCCAAATAAATAGCCATTTAATTTAGTACTGACAGCATGATGTATTAAAAATAAGTCTCAAACAAAGCTTCCTGAATTTATTACATACAAACCTTTTTATTTCGTTTTCCTCTTCTACCATCCTTTGCATTCTTCTCAGTTTGCTTAACTGTTAATTTTAACCTATTTAATAAAATTGGTTTTGGAAGTGCGAAGCTTTTAAAGTTTCCTATCACAGGCGCGTTTTCATTTAGATGAAGTGTTTGATTTTTCTTACTTTCATCTGGATTTTTAAGATTAATGTTTAATTTTTTATTTATATTCGGCGGAAGAACTACTGGACCTGGGTCAAAAATATCACTTAAAAAAGGTGTATCACCAGTACTACCATCCAACTTTTCCAACTCTCTTTCTATACTTTCATCCAGATTGGACTCCTTTTCCCAGTCCTCATCGTTTGTTAAATTTATTGTTTCTAGTTTATCCCCTCCTCCTTCATTATTCCTAGCATCTTGACAATTAAACCTAGTTGGATCATTATTTGGAATGTCATTTGTTTTCTGTGTAAGATGCTGTAAATTTTGAAGGGCAAGTAACAGTGTATTTGTATTTATACCGGATAATAAACCTGTTAGATCTAATTGGGGTGAGATTTGATTTTGATTATTAGTTGTATTTGTTTCTGGTACAAATGGTCCTTGCAATGTATTAACTTCTTTAGGCTGTTCTGTAACGGAATGAGTTCGATCTGCATTGTACTGGATAGTATTACTCTGAATATGTGGAATATTAACTGGTTTATCTGTTTTAATAGTGATTGATTCTAAAACATGTACTTTCTTGGAAGGACTTATAATTTTATGATTTTTCTTTGCAGGAGATTTGTCTTTGACTTCTTCAGACATGGCTCTTATTTCATCAGATAGCTTTGTAGGAATTGCTGGTAGCTTCTGATTAAGGCAATTATGATTCATTATTTGAGGTGATTTTTGTTGATAAACTTGATTGGAAACATTTGTGATGTTTTCAGTCTGTGGTATTTTGATAGGCTTTGTTGTAGTAGACAAAACTTGATCAACAATACTTTTTTCGTTATTTTCTTTTATATCTTCTAGCAACCCTAACAGCATTTCATGTTTGTCTCTAATAAAATCTTGAGTGAATTGTGTTTCGTTAACTTTTTTTACATCACTACTAGTAGCATATAACATATCTGTAGTAGGACTTTGGGTCCTCAAAGATCCAATACTTGGAGGTGAGGGTGTACGATTTCGATGTGAATTCGTTGACATTTCCACTGAATCTGAATCTTTATAGAGAGCATCATCATCTTCATCCCAAACAGTTTCATAACGTTTCTTAGAACATTCAATATTATCTACATTGTTATTCTCAGCACTATCATAATTTTCATTGTTTCCAAATATATCCATTATACTTTTATTTTTAATGGCTGGATTAGACTGAACAACATCAAATATTCGATACGAATTTTCAAGTGGTTTCACCTTATGATTATCAGCAGGTTTATCAAATGGCATATAATGTTCAACTGTTGTACCATTATCAATTTCATCTTTTGTAAAATCTTCATTTCGACTTTCTAAGCCGGGCAGCTGTGTGGAACTATATCCTTGTGGTTCACCGGATGGACGTTCAATATAATGATCATTTACATGTGAACTCTTTACAGGTGCACCATTAGTCTCAACTATTGGACTGCTACTAGTTATAGTAACATTTTTTGAAAAACTGTTTCCATTTCCTTTTGCCCAAAAACCTCTCTTTTTTACATTATTTTTAAAATCTTGATAATTTTTCTTAGCTGTGGCACCCAATCGTGTTGGCACATATTCGCTGGAACAGCCATCAGTATCTAGGATGTTATTGTTCTCTTGTTGTCTCGGAATAACACCCATGTTTCGAAAATTAACAGTATAAATGTTACCTGTTACTAATGGTGACTGTTCTAAGGCCTTAAGTGTACTATACCCTTGAAAAGATTGATTTTCATTGGAAACATAAGAACTTGTTTGGATAGATGGATTTAAACGTTTTTTCACTTTTCGTTTTATTTTCCTATCACCAAAAACACGTGATCGGAAGTCTACTTCATCACTATTATAAGAATATGAATCTGAATCTGATTCATTAACAGATTGACGAGTTGTACTTGTTTTAGAGGGCGGGCTTTTCCTTCTATTGACAATATTAGTATTTGCTTGTTCTAAATCTGAATCTGGGTAGTTAGAATCTTGACTATCACGAGAGCTTGATCTTGTTCGATGATGTGTAGATGCTGAGTGACTTCTACCTTGTGATATCCTTTCATCTACTGAAGAGCCACCAGCGACCCTTGTTTCAGAATCTATACCACCAATAAGTAGAGTATCTGTGCTAATACTTTTTTGCCTTAAACCAAATATAGAATGATTGTTGGCTTCAGAATTTTTGAGACCATCATCATCAGTATCAGATATAATAGCAATTTCATCTGGATTTAAAGGTTTCTGATTTAATTTTTTTCTAATACTGTTATTTATCTTAGGTGTCATATTTGTAGCAGATCTCTCAACATCTTTTTTTGGCATTTCTAAATGTGTATCCACCAGACAGCCAGTAGTTAATAATCTTTGCCTCCAACCAAAAATAGTTTTAAAATCTGGTGCAGGTTTGTCATACATAACTTCAAACTTATCTGTACTAATCTTGCAATTATTGTATACTATTGCAAATGCTGCTGCTTTTACTCTTTCTTCCACTGTATATGTCACTTCAAAGTCTTCAGCTGGTGTTAATCCAGTAAATTTATATACCACATCATTATTTGTTGAAGATACTCTATTTTCCATAACAGGGTTATAAGGTTTGAGTGCAGGAGAGACACTGTTATCACTTCTTCCAATTTTGGAACTCGTTTCATATCCAGAAGAACCAGTTTGATCTTTATCACCTGTACTGGAAAAACGTTTACGTGACACTCCATTAGCCTTGTAAGGAGGTATATTTGTATCTGGCCTGTAATAGCTAGATTGGTTTTGGAACTGATTCCGCCGCAATGCCATTTTACTGAGTGGTGGTAGTTCACAAACTGATCCATCACTAAGACTGCCACTGACTTTTTCAGTATCCTTTTTTATTTGTAATGGCACATTTGGAGGTGGTACAGGCATCACAAGATCCATTTTAGTTTCCTTCTGCAGCATAGTCGGTGGCAACTTTTTGTTTACAGGTCCTTCAGTGATGCCAACCTGAAGGCAGGAAAAATTATCTCCACTTTAGTAATGATGTGCTTCAAAATTTATTTCACTTATCAGTTACAACATAACTCTTCTTAGCTTCAATTCCATTATCTGCCATTTTAATAAAGGTTTTTTAAGAAAGTGCCAGGAGTAAAGATAACACTGTTAGAAAATAATGTTTCTTATTGTTAAGTTGTATGATTTTTTTAACAAAACGGATGGATATTTTTGATGAAAAAAATCTTATAATCTTATGCTTACCTCAGACTCTGACTTCCGTTTACGTCTCTTGCGTCCAAACTCATCATATTCGTCATCTGAAGATGGTTCTCTTCTGCGATATTCTACGACACCTCTTTCATTATAACCCCCTCCATAACCAGTACGTGCTTCGACCTGAAATGAAATTTATAACTGTTAAGATCTTTTCGATAATTTATTGTGGTAATTTACAAAAATTAATAATTATTATAACTGTATAATATATACCTCGCCAAACTTCGGTGCATTGCATACATTACAAGTCTGACGCCGGGCCCAATTGACATTCGCACATTTGTTGCATTGCCAGTCGTCGGCATTAAAAAGTCCTCGAGATTTTTCAGCAGCTGATTTTCCTATTTCAGTACCAAGTTTCTTCTTAAAAGCTTTTGCTCCATTAGGTCTTTCCTTGTTACAACGATAACAAGAGTTTCGGCGTGCAAAATTAATATTGCCGCAGTTCGGGTCACTGCATATCCAATCCCCGTCGTTCATTTTGTTTTGGCAGATATTTGCAACTTCTAAATTATAAACATTATCACGTTAGTTACTTCAATAAAATCACTTTACCCATACATTATCCAGCAAAGCACACCGACATGTAAATAAAAGGTAATTTTGACAGAAATCACTACTTTCAAAGAAAACCAAGCTCTCTTTCGTAAGAAAAGAAACCCAGATCAAGCTTTATGCCAGCCATGACATGACGCAAATATTGTATTTCCTGTCATAGACTAGATATTTATGCAACTACATCCGTGATATTATTAGACAGAATTAAATGCTTATGTAAGTATTACAGTTTCATTAATGTTATTTTGCTATTAAAAAAGGTTTTGTACGATTTTCTTAAATTTTTATGGTTAAATAATTTTATACATTGTCAAGAATAGATCTTTTTAAATTTTTTATAAGAAGACGAATAAAACTTACACCAGTCACTCACTCAGATTATCAAATTAATACTCAAAAAATAGTATGATTGTGTAAACAGGTTTGACATTAGTAAAGGTACCACCCAGATGAAAATACTTTAGTCAGAAGATAATTTGCTTTTGCCAACAGCTGCAATGTGATGTATTAAGCAAAAATATTTTTCATTACAGGTCCTTGTTCATTGGTAGCATCATCATAGCTCACTTGATATATACTATAGTTGTAATTGGCGGTTGGTGAAAATGAACATAAGCGTTGTTACATCGTTATTCGTTAGTCGTTACCCTGTAAAATCGACAGCTTTTCTATATAGTTTGTAGACATGGCAATGCCCGTCTGTAACGGTCTTCTATCACGATCTTTCTATTATGTAAACTTTCTTTATAAAATGGTTTGTATAAAATAAAAGAGGAATTTAAAATATAAATTAACTTTACTCAAATTAGTACAAACAGTTTATTTATGAAAAAAGTAAGACCGTATCCATACATAGTAATACATGCTAAATGTATAAATAAAGTATAAAAATTACTCTAACTGTACTCCATCCACACCCACAAATATAAGCTTTTCTACAAAATTATTAACAAGTAGGTATGTATTTATATCTACATTTTTTTTCAAAAGACCGAGTAAAATTCATTCTAATTACGTATATAATATTATAGTTATGTTTTCTAACATGCTATGAACTCGGCATATATATCATCTATACATATAATAAAATTGTAACTAAGCCGAATCTATACATTAAATATTTTTTGGAAAATCTTATTGAAATGAACATTATTATCGATACAGAAGCCGAACCTATAGTTTTTAGAATTTTTAAACCGCTGGTCGTAGAAACGTGAAGTTTGGAGGGCGTATTTCTTATATAATGTCCGCATCCAATAAGAAAGAATTTTTCAAAATTCGCCCCCTAAGTGGGATATCTGTTTTCCTTGCATCCTGACACTGCACAATTTATCATTTTAATTAAAATAAAAAAATCCATTCACGCTGTAGAGCTTTATACTGAGGACTCTAGTGATCGCTACATCTGGTGGGAGAAAAACAGCAAAATTCTTCCTCTTATACATTGCGTTACACTAAAGCGCATTATGCAGCATAATGCGCAACTTCAAATTTTTCAACTACAGCAACGTTCCACACAATCGAGCACATTGAAAATTACCGCTTTGGCGTGACCAACCAACTCAGTAGTAGAAAATATAAGAATTGTATTTCGCGTTGTTCGTGCTTGTGCGGCTTTATGCTTTCTAATTGTAAAACAGTGTAGATATATATTGTAGCAAGATCGACCGTCTGGTTCTTCCATAACTATTAATCATGGATGACAAATAAAACTATCAATAGACAAAGAACTAACATTGACATATGTACATAAACTATTTGTCAATTGTCATTTATCATTTGTCACAAAGTTCTTGTTTACGTTTCTTGCAATATCTCTAAAAGGCAAAAAAAAGGCAAAATAGAACAGAAAAATGGCTGAGAACGTGCATATTGACCTATCAGGGGAGATAAATGCTACAACAGAAAAAAAAGGTTTACAAAAGTATGTCAATGAAATGGAATTGTAAGTTTTACTAACCAATAATTGATATGATGCTACGTGTTTCCATAGTGCTGTTACTCATTGCATTTGTCATGCATCATATATGAATATGTTCTACTCACGGCTTAACGCAAATATAATTTATTTATAGCTTATTATGAATATAGTTTTAAACGTCGGGAACCAAAAATCAAAATAAATCCGCGAAGTAATCCGAAATGATAGTTTTATTTAAAATGTCAAATATTCGCATAAATCTAAGAAAGTATTAGTACCAGAATTATCATATAAATATCTTAGATTGCTTCACATTAACAATTTTTACATGATGTATAGGAATGCGTATAGTTTTAATAGTTTGCTAATGCTCTAAAACAAACAGATTGCTGCAGCATGTTCGAAGTGGTGCTGGTCCTGCACTGGTGATGGGAGTACTATCATCACGTAGGCCATGGACACAATTTGTTGCAACTGAAAATTTTAAGGTAAACATGTAAAATCATAAAATTAAATAATTTTATTTTAAATTATAAACATTATATTTATTTGTATTCTAGACTTATGGGATATTTTACAAAATAATATAAAAATTGTGCACTCATGTGATTTGAAAGTGCTGAGATAAATTGTGTTACTTGCAATATGAAACTGGCAGAATGTTTTGGGCGAGTTACAGAAATTCCCAGCCATTAGAAGAAAAAAAAATAATGCTGAAATATACCTGTAATCCTACAAATATTATTAATATGAAAGTTTGTGAGAATGGATGGGTGGATGTTTGTTACTCTTTCACACCAGAACGGCTGAACAGATCTTGATGAAATTTGGAACAGAGATAGATTATAGTCTGGAATAGCACATAGATCACTCTTTGTCCCGGAAAAATGTACGGCTCCCGTGAGATAGACTTGTTTTTGCTTAAGGACAAACCCGAAATGAAGCGAGGGTGAGCCGCTAGTTTATATAAATTTGAGTAAATAGTTTACCCAATACACTATGTGGTTTATCCATACATATTAATATCTAAATGCTACATTGAAAAGAACAAAAGTTCCTTCACTATTTATGTGTCACAAGAGGTTTGTTGGGGACGTGATCTATCACTAAATGCTAGCTATAAAAAATACAGTTTGAGATCGTTGTAAAGTTCATACTCCGATAATGTTAAATAATGATAATGAATGCAGCCAGTTTGATTGCTGTCTGAACATGCACTGACTTTATGAACAAGGTTCTTACTGAAGTGCAAGCTTCTACCCATGCATAATATAAAAATTAGCCAATTTCGTTATCATAATGCACAACTAATTGTAAATATAACAAAATATGATAATGCTGATGTAAAAGGAGGAGGTACCCTGGTGCATGCTTTTCACTGACGATATTATACTTGTCAGAGAAAATGCAACCAGAGCCCAGAATAGGCTGGAAAAATTATGCAAAAATTTGGAGAGTTTTGGTTGAAAGTCAAAAAAGAAAGATAATGCTACCAAATGGACATTCTCATGAGACATTAATATCATTATAGATAGTTCTGTTGCTAAATATGTACTAGTACAATAAAACCATGTTGAATTTTCCTTGGTAATTTCATAAATTCAATTTAATTCTCCTGATAATGGCTTCAAAGCGTGTCACTTGAGCACATGTTACTTCACCAATGGCACGCAGAATGGAGAAGACATGAAGGAGATTGGTAGTAATATCATACTAAATAACACTTACTGATTTAAATCTAGTTAAATCCTTGCATAGACAAAGCAACAATACTAGAATGCTGTGTGTTTTCAAATGTATATACCTACTCGTAATAGCAACTGTAATGTTCTTGATTTTATGATATATGAATTTATTTACAGGCACCTGCTTCTATACCAAGATTGTCAAGAAGATTTTATCGAAATGTAGAATATTTTCAAGCAAACTACTTAATTGTGTTTTTGGGATTATTTGCTTATTGTTTGTAAGTATATCTATCTTAACTTGATAATATACAATTGTGTGTATTCTTTCTTTGCTAATGTTAACACTATCAATCTACTAAATATATAATAAAAAAATAAATAGTATATTATATATGTACATATAACGCCATCTATTGACATTTATTTGTAGTAATTTCTATATCTATCCCTTGTATATAAGTAAATTTAAAACATTTATAATCTAAATCGTCAAATATCTTGTAAATATAAATGTTATTTTATTTCAGAATAACTTCACCATTGCTTTTAATTGCGATGGTTGCAAGCTTTTTTGGATACAAGAAGTTGACATCTGGACCTAATACTTGGAAGGTATGAAATTCATCTTCACTCATAAAACTATATTAGATGCATAGAGGGTGGAGCAAATAAACGGGACATGGAACAAAAGTAATTTAAACATTGAAGATATCAAGTTTCATTCAAAAAAAATATTTATTTATAAAAAAAATATAATGCAGTTAGCATTTAAATATTTTTTATAAAGCTTACCAGAGTCGGTAAATAATCGAACCAGCTAAAAATGCAAAAAAGTAAAACGTCACGTCAAACTTTATCGAATTAATCTATTTTAGTTCAATTATTGGCCTTGGTAAACTTTTTTTTTAATATTTATATGTAAGTAATATTTTTTTAAATAACTCTTCTTCCGTGTCTTATTCATTTGTTCCAATCTTTAAATGTAAGATATTTACAATAAAAAAATAAAAAAATCGACTGCATAAAAGCTAACTAAAAAAATGAAAACAAGTTGACAAAGGAATAAAGTATGATGCGGTAAAAATGGTTATAATATGATGTGTTTTCCCTGATTCCAATCTCTTGGTTTTTTTTTATCTGCCTATTTGTTTCAATGTTAACTAATTAATACTGAAACGATTTTGATTTAAACATGTTGTTTTTAAAATAATATTCTTATTACACTTTTTACTTCAACATATTTTAATAATGCTAACATGGCGGAGACCGGTAATAATACTCCACATCAAAAAAAAATGAATTAATTAATTAAATTAAGTAATATATACTAACTCGTAATAAAAATATTCTACACCAGTGTTTTAATTTGCTTTTCAGCCAAAAGTAAGTCACGTTTTATTATAAGAGCACTGTTTTCTATCTTTCTTTTTTCTAAAATTACTAACCTCTTTCACAACAGCGAGTTCATCCATATTACGAATACAAAAAAAATATGCTTAAAATTGACATCAAATACAAATCTTTCTGGTTCTTAGAGGTAACAATTCATTAATAAATAAGCTTTAAAGTTTCTTTTAATGGATGTATACTCGCTTAGAAGACCTCCCGAATACTGTGCGTTGAACTAAATTTTATAAAAATAATTTAAATGTTGAAAATGTGAAATACATAGCTGTGAATCGTTTCCAACATGATTACCACTCGTCTTACGGTGAAGAAAAACATCGTGCGGAAACCTGCATGTCTGAGAGAACCTAGCAAGTTTTAGAAAGACAAGTGTAGTCGACCAAGCGCACTTGGTCAGCGTGGTGGAATATGGCCTGATCCCCCTCGTATTGAAGGGAGGCCCGAGCCCAGCAATGGGACGTTAAAAAGGGCTGAATACAATTATATTTAACTTAATTAAATACATATGCTCTCTCCTACACTGTGAGTCACAACGCTAAAATTAAATGTGGCACTCGGAGACTGCCGCGGTAAAGCTATTGCATAGCATTTTTTATCAACTTATGCAATTATAATTATTTATTTATTTTATTAGTATTTCACGCCATCTAGTTCCATGGTAAGCTACGAGGCCTGTGTTATGGATACCAGATAGTTGATACACTACACATATATAACTTTAAATACATACATATTATAAATACAAACACCTATGACTGGAGTACAAACATTCGACAACACACAAATGAATGCCCCCAGCGGGACTCGAACCCGCGACCGCTGGCACAGAAAATAGGGTCACTACAAACTGAGCCAAGCGTGTCGTCAAACGTGACTTAAAACATAAATATCAAACTACTATTTTGTTTTGTTGCGCCATCTAGTGGCCATATTCTTATAGCTGTGAATAAAAGTAGCGTAAGACAGCTAGTTCGTAGTTTTTATACAAGATGGCACTAGCTCATAAAAAAAATAAACTTTCTCACAAACAGCTGATTACGGGTAGTTTTCCAATACAACCAATGCCACCTAAAGGCGGGTTGCTGAACTAAAGAGACAAGCGTGATATTTCAAAAAGTCATTAAAAGTTCTGGTATTTATCGATAGATGGAAAAACTAAAACATTTATTTAACATTATAATTTTACCTATTTGTACATAAATTTAATTTAAAAGTATGCACAGCTTTTTATAAAAGTATTCCATTAAAATTTTATTTGGTTAAGAGTATATAAGGAGCCATTTTAGTTGTACAATAAACAAAAGAAGAAAAAAGTATCACCGCTGTGCCGGTCGGAGTGGGGGGTGTCAGGTGTTTTTCGTTACGGAATTTCTGGATTCGGTCCCCACGCTCAAGGCCCGCGATAGAAGCTATGCAATATCTTAAAAAAACTTTTAGTCAAAACTGAAAATTAAAAAAACTCTAAACTGGATCATACGGATTTTTTTCTTTAAATCTGTTTTTCTTTAATTTCTACCTCACTGTAGATTGGGAGCTGGGAATTGACCAAAACTCAACAGTATGCGGTGGGTGCTGCGGGCTCGATGGCGTTATGTTGGCTAGCCGGAGCTGGGGCTGTCTTGTTTTGGGTTCTAGGTGAGCAACTTTTTAGCAGTTGTACTTTTAAGGTTCCGTGGGCAATGGTGATAAACGTGATACCTGTCATAAATGTGATACAATTTTGATAATGTATGTGTGTATTTCACAGCCATTTTGGAGATTATTGATAGGAAGATTATTATACTATTTTTGAAGAAACATTGCTAAAGAAGAGTATCTTACTATCACAGATCACATAAAACTATACTAGTACAGATGCTTCATCCCATACAAATAAATTGGACACAGCTAATTAGGGCTATTTTTTTTTTGCTTGAATAGATTATAGATGCCGTTAATTCGCAAATAGTTAAACTGTTTTATTTTATAAATATGTGCAAACTAACGGTAAATAATGTAAAATTCATCCTGTATTCGATAAAAAAATCTGTGATTTTAACAATTTTTAACCGTGATAAACAGTTCATAAAAAGTGAAAGCGCTATCTGTGAATATACACTACAAGCTCATCATCCGATTGCTGATATTTCAATAATCAGTAAAATTACGCAAATTTGATTTACGGGCGCATTATTTCGTTTCCATTCCCTTAGAATATTTTTTAAAACAATAACAAAAATTTTGGGATCATTTTTTTATCCTTTGTTAACTGAATACAAGTTTAATAACAAATCGATACATGTTACATCATCTATTGACATTTATTAGAACGAATTTTTCTTCATATATATTCACCATGATACTAAATAAGCTTTCTTTTAATACATGCAATTATTTCAGCTGTCATTGACAATGTTATACATTTTAGGTGCAACGGTGACCGTGGTCGCTCTACACGCTAGTTTCTTCGATGCTGAAGCTCTACCGCCCTCCGAAGATCCCGAACAATTTCCAATGGTGGAACAAGTGTGACACGGACATTTGCCATTGTTTCTACCGCCTCCCACCAGAATTGCCCTACCTATGAGCTACAAGCCGACAAATATAACGTCGTAAATAATAATTAATATTAGAAAGTATATTAATAATTATAAAAACCTTCCTACGATAAATTATACATTATACAATATCACAGTATAAAAATCCAGACAGTAGGTGATAGCCTTTGATTTTGACGGAATCAAGTCAAATACAATACAGGGTCGTCAAGAGAAACCAATTTTCACGGCGAACGATTTTTCACGCTTAAACCGCTGAACAGATTTCGATGAAATTTGCCAAGGCATAGATTGCCTTATGGGATCCGACATAGGATAGTCTAGAACATCTCAACAACAGCTTATAACGCGAGTGAAGGCACAGACAAAAATTGGTATAAATATAAATTATTGCCTTAATTGGCAAACCAGCTAACTCCATATTATGAGCAATAGGTAATAGGTAATATTATAAGCTGTTGTTTTTGATACTGTAAAATCCTACTGAATTACTGTTGCGTACAAACTGAACCAAAAAATATTTTTCGAGGAATTGCCAATTGAGGTATCGAAATGAGATCGCCCCACCCGCGTTTCGCATGCTCGCACGCCCGCACTGTTGCCATCTAGACGCCTTCGTTACACAACTGTACGGATTAATAGACTGATATTATGTCGATACTAGTAGAACAAGTGTGAAAATGACACTTGCAATTCTCCTAACCTACGAGTTAAATGTCTTAATACATAACATATATTTTACATATAATAAAACTCTGAGTTGAATCGGTGCATTAAATAGTTTTTGAAAAATCTTATGGGAATAATCATTATTATCGATACAGAGGCTGAATCTATAGTATTTAGAATTTTTGTCTTTCTGTCTGGGAACGCATCTTGAGAAACCACTGGATAGATTTTGATGTAGTTTGATATACTAAACAAACGTAACTAGGGACGAACCCGAGCAGAACGAGGATGAATCGCTACTCGTAAATATGGACCTTTATAATGTATATATGTGTATCATATATGAATCTTTCGTGTACGAGTTATACCTACCCATTTTATTTAAAAGGTATTTTTAATTTTACCTTTCGAATATATTAACTGATATTATACACGATAAATATTTTTGAGAAGCAATTGTTTACTTTTATTTGTTAGGATTCTATGAAATCAAGTAATATTGCAATGACACGCCTCGATTAACCATTTATTTATCTTTAAGCTTACCATGATTTTTTTTACCAAAGTTAAAATTAAATTTTAAACTCGTAACACGATGTTATAGTTTGTCTATTTATATACTTAAATTTATGTAAAATAATTATAATATTTATATGGCTTTGTTTTTCAAAGTACATTTAAGGCCTTATTTTTACTAGGCAATTTGTAAATAACAGCACAATAAATAATTATTATCATTAAGTATGATTAACACCTAAAATTATTTTGTCTTCATCTATTTAATATAAAAATGTGAATTGAATCTTGTTTTATTGTTTCTCTCCCCATACATTAAAGGTACATATATATTTTCAACGACAATTAGTTTTTGTTTCTCTGTTTATATTCGAGCAAGAGTGAATTTGGTTGCTTATTTATGCAATAGATAAATTCTTAACACGTTATAATATGTATGTGTATTCAGCCCTTTTTTTATTAACGTCCACGTGCTGGGCAGCTCCCTTCTATGCGAGGGGGATCAGGCCGTAGTCTACCACGCTGGCCAAGTGCGAGTTGGCGGACTTCACATGTCTTTTGAAAACTTACTAGGTTCTCTCAGACATCCAGGTTTCCTCACGATGTTTTCCTTCACCGTTAAGACAAGTGGTAATCATGTTGGAAATGATTCGCACATGAACATATCAGAGGTGCGAGACCCGGGATTTGAACTCGGTTCACTGGGTTTCCCAAGCGAGCGCGTTACCACTTTAAATATATGTAGTATATACTAATATTATTAAGAAGTAAAGTTTGTGAGTTTGACGTTGTAGGGGATGATCTCTGGATATACTGCACCGATTTAGATGAAATTTGGTAAGAAGATAGTTTGAGACGCTGGGAAGGACATAGGATACTTTTTATCCCAGAAGTCATCCCTTGCGGGTTGTGAAAATGGGGATGAAAGTTTGTATGGGAACTCGATCTAGGGACGAACCCAAGCGAAACGAGGGTGAGTAGCTAGTGTTAAATAAGTAAATAAGATAAGATCAAAATTACATGTTTTATTTAAAAATATCACTATTATTATTTTTTCTAACCGTATCCTTTCTACTTGATTGCACTTACTTGAGAGGAGAAAACAGAAAAAAAATCCCGTTTACCCACCTCACTCTAAGTAGATTCTCGGACACATGATATAGAATAAAAATAGCTTTATTCAATTAAGACTTATACAAGCACTTTTGAATCGTCAATTTAACTTAAATACTCTTAATGTAGCCAAGTACGAGAGGAAGCTATCAAGCTACCATTCATTGGCTTGAAAGAAGAGTAGGTGAGAAACTCAACAGTTCTTCTCGTCAACACTATTAATAATTTATAAACCCCATTATCTATTTATTATAAACAATTATTTGGAAAATAAAATAAATATGTAAATTCCAAATATTTATTATTACATGTAACTAAAATAATATAAAATAAAAGCAACTTTGATACAAAATTCATATAATAAGTTTTCTATCAAAGCTGACGCGTAATAAATGCAAAATTTTCTTTATGTTTTGTCAAAACAACTATTAAACAATGTTGTAATAAAATTTAAATCACGAACACTTAGGAAACATAATTATAAATATATCTTACTAAAATGCTGGCGTCTATCAGTCCCAGAGCTCCCAGGGGCACTATCAAACTTAGCCACACATCAATTGTAATTGTATCCGCTAATCAACTTCATAGTACATTTGTTAAAATTCTTTCCCTAAATTTTGCACCTGTCATGATATATTTATGTAATACATTAAAAAAATAACACCACAGTATTTTTAAATAATTATTTTCGTTAAAAAATTATACCAGCAACATGGTAGGTAGTATATCTAGAAAATTTTGTAGGTTTTAAAATATTTCTCGTTTTAAATTTATGTAAAGCAATAATTGTTTCAATATATTTCTTATAATTATATTAACATTATGTTAATTGCACTAGAATGTCTGTGACAAAGATAAACCTCTGTTTTCACCAACATATAATAAAATTTATATAATATAAAGAAAATATTTCATACACCTATTTAGTAGTCATAAGATATTTCTTTAAATATCCCCTGGAAGACACATACATAAACATTTGACTTTAATCATACACATTCAGTCAAGTCCACTTATATACACATAAATTCAGACTCAATTTTGCAACACTGCCGATTAATAAATATGGATGGCAAGCATGTTTCATATTCTAAAACCATATTAGCTTCACAACATCTTTATAAAGATTCTCTTATTTTTTTTACTAGCATGGTTTATAATACAGAATAAAAATATATTAAATTTTATACATGAAAATTGTAGAATTTATTATTTTTACCTACTATTAAATTTGTCTATAACATTTCTGTTTACATCAAAATATTAATTATAGAGATTAAAGCCTTGACATTCAAATACATAATTATGTAATATAGTTTATGTGTTAGTAAATCAAAACAAGAGTTTAAAATGTTTGTGGACATTAAATATATAATAAAAAATTACACTGTAACTCCATTATTAATTCTATTAAGTTCCATATCAGCTACATGCAGGATTTCATCCCATTTGTGTGATGGAGTATGAGGTGGAGTAGTTACGCCAAGCTTTTCAGTACAAGTGCTTGGTGTTGTGAACTCCAACTTTCGTTTTGACTTACCAGCAAACACATGACATGGTGTCATTTGCTGTGGAGTGTCTATAATTGAAAGAGGTGTAATTGGTGATGGTGTATGTAGAACAATCTTCTCAGTTTTCTTTATTTTAAATGATCCAACATATTTGAAAACTGGTTTTTTTAAAATTAAATTACCTGATACTTTTTCGATAAGACCTATTGAAATAAATACATTTGCAATGTCATACAATCTCCTTACTTTTGATTTGTGTTGCCTGTCCAGTTGTTCAGGCGAAAGAATACATTTGTTTTTGTTTGATGTGTCTATAAGTACACTTACAGCCATTTCTAAATTTATTAAAGTGTTCTGAAAAAAATATGTATCTGAATTAAGTTTTTTGTTATTTCATATTATGTGTATAAGAACTAAAATATAAATGCAAAACTACTTACAGGTGGTTCCACTAAGAATAGCATCAGAAATCTTTGTGCCAAAACACCCAGTGTTTTATGTTTTGGTGCTGGTGGTTTAGGAGCTTTTCCTTTAAGAGCCTCTGATAATCTTAGATTTTCACCTTGTTTTTTTAACATTTTCAAAAATGAGTTTAACCTTGAGCCACCATGCCATAAATAGGTATTTTTCCTCTTATGAACTGCACACTGCATGGCTTCTAAAATATTTATTATATCATACATTCTTCGTTTTTCAACACCTAATCGAGCTGCAGTGCTGTCCAATTGTATTTCTACTGTTCCATTACCTTGTAAAGGATACAGATTAAGAAATCTGAAACAAAATATTTATTTAGAGAAGTGAAGGGTAACAAGCATTTGTTTTATTTTATATGGATTATACTAACTTATCACATAATATTTGCAAGGATTTTTCTTTTCGGTGTACCGTACTTGGAGGCGGCGTGGGATATTGCAGAGCAACATTAGTTAATAACTTGAGATTAGCAGTCGGAGATACGTAACTACTAGCATTTGTAACTTCACTTAATGCACAACGCTTAGGAGTGGAAATAATGTTATCATCTTCATACATTGTGTGAGAACATTATGCAAAAATCGTACACCTCAAATATTCGCGTACTTTTTGACAGCTATAACAGAAATCTCGAAGGCTTTTTCTATAAATATTTCATTCCATTTATATAAAGAAACGACATGAGATAGTAATTTTATAATTTCATATTAAATTTCAAAATTTTATAATAAAACTGCAATTATTTAACCTAACAATAAACAACTTTGACAGTAGCAAATGCGCGCGATCTTATGATGTAAAAAAACACGATGCGTTTTATTTTATTATACCAATTATTACATGAATTATATTCACAATGTTTCTACTTTTTAACTACTATTCTCATATCCATTTTTATTAAATTGTTAAAATATAAGTCCTTAATTTAAAAAATAAAAGTTATTTATATAATTCTATTTTGTATAAAAAAATATTTTGGCTGCGTTCATTTCTAATCTGTGACTATAGTATCGAATTATATATTCTGTGATCTGTAATCTGTGTTATTATTTATTATGTCATTACTCAATTGTCATTAATCATTTGTCAAACCAGCCCCGGCCGAGCTCCATACAAGCGCATATTCATAAAACCGAAGGCGAATAAGACGAAGCGGGGGCCGGGGGGGTCAAGATACTCAAAGAAAGATTTTTCCCGATTTAACCATTATAAATTAAAAATAGCTACATGGGATATGTTAATTAATATCTTATTATATTATAAAATATACTTAAGATAAATATGCTTAAAATGTTTTTTTTTATTAATCATATGTGCTATATATTGATTTATATAATTATATTCTAAATGATTTTAACTATTATCGAATATCTTATATTTTAATTATATTTCATATCAAACATAAAATATCTATTAACATAGGTTTTTATGTTATAAAAATTGATTTATATTTTAGAGCTGTGTCATGAATTTGCCTTAATATGGGGACAGTTATGGCATAAATGGCAAGTCAAAATATGCTGTCACTTTCACGGCTATTGTATTTCTTTTGAGTCGCCACGCATCTCTTTCTAAGGGTATGACGTCATATGCGAATCTGGGAGAATTTAGTTCGTAGTGATGTAAAAATCGGTATTCATTACGATTACGATTAAGTAGGGATGTATTTTATCGTAATGTTATCGGTTTTCAACAACTGTTATCGGTTTTATAGTAAGGTTTTCATTTTTATTATATTAATTATAATTAGAAATAAAATACAAAGATAGGTTTCTAGTTTTTTTATTTTACTATTTTAATGCTACCACTAGTTCGGAAAAATGCCTCAGACCTGAGAAGAATTAGCAAGGACTGAGGTCCTTGACGGGATAACCTTTTTTTTCTTAACATTTATAATACATTGTTATTACAATAAAAGGACATTTTTAAAGAATTTTATCAATTGAATACAAAATACAAAAGATAATAACAATGAGACAAAGACTAATACAACGATTTGGTATAAAATATTACAATGCAATAAAATTAGAAGTAACATAGAACAATAGTTTTTGTTAATAACAATATCATATATTAAGCGAGTAGTAGGTTTAATTGTAGGTATAAATTAAAATCTAGCTTTTGTTTGAAGTTTTAGCTCTAGAACCACTTTCATCTTCAGTTTATAAAATGCAAAGATTCGAGATTAGCGCATTTGAAAAAACAAACATTTTAATCTTATATAAATTTAAAAAAAAATGCAAATTTCAGTAAAAAATGAATAATAAAATTAATTTTCTTAAAAGCTTAAGAAATTTAAAATCAATATGTACATAGTAATAATTTGGTGTAAAAAGAAATAACAGCTAAACATACTCTAAAATAAAATTTCTAAATGCATAGTTCTATCAAATGTAACAATTATAATTAATATATTAAAATTATATACTGCTATAGTAGTATATTTTAAGAAATTATAATATTATTTCACAGAAATCAAATGAAATATTCATACATTATTTTTATACTTAATAGAAACATAATGAAAATGGAAAATTCCAAGTGATTATCTTTTAAATAACCAAGAAATGAAACAAACAAGAGTAATAAATATTAAAAGTTAATTAATGAAAAAATATTGGAAAATCATTCACTACTCTGAAGACTAGATGAGTTCAACCATAGCTAGGCCCTTCTGAAACTTTCATATTAAGCAAATTTTCTATTTCCAGACCCTTTTTTCTCGAATCCACTTTATGCATTCTTCAATTAAAATTTATACACCTGTGTTTAACTTTTATACATATCATAAATAATGAGAATGCTCTTAAAAATATTTCTCTATGATCTACACAAGTGTACCAAGAGGTATCAAGATTTTCAAATGCTTTTATTAAATCGGGAAATATGTAAACTTTACAAATCTTTGGTAATTGTCTTTCAATTATGTAAATTGCATACCATACTAGAGATGACAGATTCTTAGAAGGATCATGTATTTTATTATTAATGAATAAAATAATCTCAGCTGTGAATAAGCCATTCTCAATATTTACATTTAATGTATTACAATAATTGTGTTCTTCCTGGAAACTAAAAGCCTTTATCAGGAGACTTATAGATGTTGAAACACTTCAACTGCTGAAACACCTGCGCAGCATATACTTCACCTGTAAATATATTATTATAATAAATTAATGTAATACAACAAATAGTCACCATAACTATATAGTATATGAACTAGTAACTACTGTAGATGAATAGTAGCTTATTTAAATATAGTAATAGTTTAGTATTATTAGGGTCTAGGTAGATAAGCCAATTAGGCCCTTAAATAGCTGTTAACATTATACAATAGATAGGCTATAGAGTTGATAAATTGTTTTTAATGGACTGAGCATTACATGGATAAGTGCATTCAAACAATAAACAAACTATTCAATTTTACATATTAGAATAGAATAGTATAATAATAAATAGTATAATAATATCCATAGCTTCAAGAAGTTTCCTTCTTAAAAACAATTTCATATTAAAGATAATATCCAAGATCTAAAGTAATATAATAATATCTTAATTTACTAAACTTAACAATATAGTTACCTTCATCTTAACAAAAGAGTTTGGATAAATATGCCTGTCAGTAAGTTTGTTAGCCTTGCAGCACCTTTATGGTCATCTACTTTATACAACATATAAACATAATCCCATTGAGCATGCTGACTGCCAAGGAGCAAATTCTTTTTCTGAAAATTATTACTGAAACATTTCAGTAAATGAGGTACATCATACTTATGATAGGTTTTGTTCCCACTTCCCATTAACTTCATAATGGATAGCACTTGATGCATCATTGGCACTACAAAGTATATTTACCTCAGTATCAGAAATTAATGAATTTATTAGCAGGTACATTGGCAGAAACCTGGTCAGATAGAGTTACTCTAGAAATAAACCGTTTATAAGACTTTCTATAAGTATACGTTATAAAATTGAAGTGCATCTTTATAAGGCATTCTATGGCATGAAAAACCTCTGTTCCTTCCTGACAATTCGGAATTACAATGCTTTCCCATGATTACACAACATTAATAAAAAACCAAAAAAAGGAAGAGAAACACTAATGAAGAAATAACAAATTTTGTATCCAAGCACAAATCTTGACTATATTACTGATCTACATTAATCACATAGAGTATATTGCTACATATATAAAATTAATCAGCACTTATCCACATTAATTAATACTAATCTACAAATTGATAAAATGTAAATTTTAAGTGTAAAATAATATAAAAAACGGCAAGCCCTCACACCCTAGTCCCCAGGGGCGAGTAAAATGCGACAGTTAAAACTTGAATATTTCAAAAATGACAAAATATTGCAGTGACGTCACAGTAGTGACGTATGTAACTGCGAAAGAAATAAGTTGTTGTCCCACTCGTTGTCGCCAAATGTAGAGATAGCATGCTAGTTACCAAGCAAATGAAAGGGATAGATAGATCCACCAAGAGCTCGTATGGAACTAATTCATCTATTTTATTTGTCATCCATGTGTCAAACCATTAACCAATAACAAATGGTGAATCGTGAAAGTTTACCGTAGTTATTATTGTTCATTTTGTTTACTGTCCATTTTTAGAATTTATCTTTGCTTTTCGTGTTTGTAATTTTAAATAAAAATAAATTCTCTTCCTGCATGTTCTTAATATTTAATTCCAAACCATAGATATTATTTATCTACCGATTTTAATTAAAACAACTTTATTTGTTACTTAAATTTTAGTGTTAAATGAGGTAAGTCGATCAATGTTAGTTTAGTATAAAAAATCGAAAAATACAAAATCCATTTATTGCTAAGTATCCTAATATGAGTTTATAAAAATTTTGTGCGACATTGTTCCAGCCGGATTTAAAATCATCATTCCAAAACTATAGATCAATCATTCTACAAAAAAAACCCTGCCTAACAAATATATAGTCCAGTTGCATATAAATTTAAATCTTAAATAAGTACTAATAATTTGGGTACACATACTACTAACTTGGGTACACATACTATACTTGGGTGCTTAGAACCAACACTAGAATTTATCGATTCACTAATTTTTGTTGATTGTCATGTTCAAATTATACTTTCTACATACCATACATCAATATAATTTTACATAATTCTTCATAAAATAAAATTCTTAAATCTATTATATCTATATATATATTCTAAGTCAAATCTGTATATTAAATATTTTTTAGAAAATCTTATTGAAATAGACATTATTATCGATACAAAGGCCGAATGTATAGTTTTTAGAATTTTTGTCTGACTGTCTGTTACCGCATCACAGAAAAAGTACTGGACGGATTTTTATGAAATTTGGTATGGTCATAGCTGATTATTCGGGTCAACATATAGGATACTTTTTACCACAGAGAAATATCTAATTTCTGAGAAAAATACAAAAACTGGTTAGAATAAAAAAATGATGATACTATATAGATTTTAGCAAGTTAACTTACTAAATATGTCAACTATTAAAAATAGATAATCTTGAAAAAGTATATCAATAGCACTATTTTATTCATTAAAATTTTTTTTTAATGAATATTTATTATATTTGTCAATAGATGTCGCCATGTGTCTTTAAAATACGTAGTTTTAATTCCAAAAAATTGAATGTACAAATTCGACCTTTCTATGATTTTATTAGTATTACTACTAAATTACTCGCGGCCCCGCCCGTGTTTAAATTATCAAAAAAACAATCTTTTTGGCTTTATAAATTAGTTACATCATAGATACTTTAAAATTTAATGAAGCAGTATCTGTGCTTTTAATATTTTTTGCGGAATTTTATTGAAATACACATTATTATCGTTAACAGAGGCCGAACCTATAGTCTTAAGAATTTTTGTCTGTCTGTCTGTCTGTGACCGCATCACAGAAAAATCACTGGAGGGATTTTGAAGAAATTCGGTATGGTAATAGCTGGTTATCTGGGTCATCATCCGGGTCCTAGTATACTAATATATAAAACCTAAGAATTTGGTTTTGGTCATATGAACGCAGGCAGAGCCGCGGGCAATGCTAATTAACATAAAACTTTACATATATATATATATATATATATATATATCCGCTTGACAATTTCTGTGAAGGGTTATTTATTTTTATGCTTTTTTCTCAGTAATGTTCTGTGAAGTTTTATTTAACTTTTTTTACCTTTTACTCATCCATTTCTATATATCTTTCATAGTGACTCTTTTTTAGTCTATTCTTTTTATGTAGATGCTTTCAAATGTTTTTAAATCTTTATATATTATCTGTTTCAGTTAAAATAATTGTCACTAGTGACCCAGTCAATTTTGTATAAACATGAATAATGATGTGTCTGGGTTATCTATAGAGGACAAGGAATTCTTAGCCAAATGTGAAGAAAAACTAAAAGATAGATTCACTGAAAAGGATGAAGAGTTTATGAAAGTTTTCAATAGACAACCATCCATTCCTCCAATCATTGAAAACTTGTGGACACATAATTCTGGGCGTAGACATGACAACAGGAATAACAGAACACGGCCATATGACCGCTATGGGAATAGGGATAGACAAAATCGAGGCAATCATAATTACAGAAGACGTAATGACTATAATGATTCCTATGGACCTCAACGCTCGAGATATTCTTATTATTAGAAAGAAATAGATGAATTTATATATTTCAATGTTTAACTAATAAAGGTTGTACAAATAAAATGCATTGTTTTTCTTCAAAAGAATATATTATCAGTTATTATGGCTTGATTTACATTTTAACAACTTAAAAATTACATAATAGATCACCAGAACGCAATACAGCTACAGCTTCAATCGAGTAATTGAAATTATAACATAATAAATAAATATTAAACATCTCACTGCTACTCAACAAGTCATTAGTGATTATATATTTATAACATTTAATTATGCCAATAAATAGTATCTGAAAACTAATTTCCACTCCTACTGTCTGTTAACAAAGAATAACAATATATTATGTTGCATGGACAGACACTCGCGACCTTTGCTCAATATAAATAATTTGCCTCTACAATTTCTAAGAAGTTGAATGCTTTGCGAATTTATTCACAAAAATATATTTCATAGTAATCTCATATAGCAATAATAGGGGAGCATATTCTTATACGCAAAATTGAGGATAATTCAAACGCCTAAAGTTGCAATATATCGAGGACCTTTCTGCGCTTCACCAAGCAACTGAATGGTGTAACTTGAAAATAATCGCAATTCAGACTGTCCTAGTAGGTTTGAATTTGAATATTTCTTGCTGCTGGAGTTTGCCTACTTACTGGCCTTCTTATCTATCCTTCCACTGAGCGTATACATGTTGAATACAAGTTAATCATCGAAAGCATTATATTGCACATTTCACCACCTTTAATCTAAATACACACTAAAAGACGTCGTGCCACTGTATTCATCATGTGCACGCTAGAGTCAATAGCCAACGGCTCCTTTCAGTTCATACTCTAAAATATATTTAATAAATAACTATACGACCAGATAAAATCTGAGTAACATCATGCTAAGTGACACAATTACTAAGCACAATGACGATTACATTCATCAAGCTCTAAGATAACTATTTTTTTTTTATAATTTCCACTAATTAATATTGTACTGTATCGGCTACTCGTTTCTGTACTGAAAGCATTAAATCGTAAAATATTTTTAATGCTTCGTTTAATCAACAAATATGATTGCAATATTTCAAATGTACTTTCCTAATATACATCCATCAGTAAAGGGCATATATAGTGAACAAAACAATTAATATTAAAAAAATAGTAATAAGGACCGGTCAACTAAATATTATGATATTAAATAGTTACTAATTAGTAATTACGCTCAACATAATAAAATGCAACCACAATAATCAAATCACAGTGAAAGTGTGTAAATTATGCTCACTAACTTAATATTTAAAATAAAATACGTTCACGACAACGAAATATGCGCGCTACAAACTAAATGTAAGATGTAAAATATTTTGTTTATATACCGACAGAGCGCGTGACGTACAGCCGTCACGTGACACGTCCCCGGTGACGTGCATGAATGGATGCGATTACATATTAAACATCGATAACTGGGCAACACCAATAGACGGCAGCTAAACACAATAATTGATTCGTTAATATAAACTTCTACATAACATTATATGATGATTTTAATTGATACAAATATGTTTTAAAATTTCCTTAACAACGACGCACAGTTTTAATAGAATTGACACGTAATCGTTGTCGTTATCGGACAGCCGCGGCGGTTCTGAGCTCGTCGCGACGAACGGCAACTCACCTACGAACGACAATTGACTAGTTTGGTAGCACTCGCTGCTGCCCGGGCGCCTGCTGCCGGGCGCTGCTGGCGCGACGCGAGCATTGGTCGGGTTCAGTACTGGTGACTAGGGCGTCGCGTGGGCGTGGGCGAGTGTAAAAGTGTCAAATCGTAGCAAATATCATAATATAATCTAAAGCTTGCGGGAGGCGCTCATATGAAGGTCCAGCACTCCATGATCTTGACGACGAAGTCCTCGCGCGTGGTGAGCGGCTCGTTGCCGTACGTGGTGCAGCGCTGCGTGCGCCCCAAGTACAGATCCCCGTCCAGCCAGATACCAAACTTGCCGCTGCGCAAACATTACATTCATATTAATATTTATAATAAAAAGTAACGTCAATAATTGCCTAACAGTTTAGTTTTGTTTAGCCGAAACAACGTGAACGAGTAATAAAACTACACTCACATCATACACCCATGCAAACTTTCGCTTTTATAATAGTAATCGAATTTTATACATGGTTCTTCATAATCTTTAATAAACTAAAAAAAGACGAGTAGATAAAGAGCCAATTGACCTATATACGTCATATAACTTGATATAAAAATCACCTTACGTAACGGATTTCCTGTCATAAACTTTTTTTTATTTCTTTTGGGATATAATGGAGACATATCTACTATAAATAAATATAAATAAATATGTTGGGACATTGACACAAAGCACCATCTAGTTTTATGGTAAGCTACGAGGCTTGTTATGATTACCAGATAGTTGATATATTACACATCTATAACTTTAAATACATACATATTATAAATATAAACACCCATGACTGGAGTACAAACATTCGTGTTCATTTATCACACAAGTGAACGCCCCTAGCGGGACTCGAACCCGTGACCACTGGCATAGCAAATAGGGTCACTACAATCTGAGCCAAATGTGTAGTCAGATGTGTGTTTGACTATGTTTAGGCGCAACTGCCTCACCAGGGGATGGCTGTACACCCGGAGGTCCTGGGTTCGAGTCCCGGGTCGGGCTAAGTTTAGTTGTTGAGTCTTTCTGTATAGTAAGTCTCAGTAACAGCCCGGAGTTGGGAAGTTGGCGGTGTTTCACCCCCGTGCCTCGGAGAGCACGTAAAGCCGTCGGTCCTGCGCCGACACTCTCACTGGTCGTGTCGAGTAGTTATCCCACCAGAGTATAAGAGAGACAGGAATAGTGAGTGCACGTTGTGTCGGCGCGTATACTTGTGCACTATAATATCTCCTGCGCAGTTGGCTAGTCTTAATGAGATTGGCCGCCGTAGCCGGAATCGGGCAGGAGAACATCATTTTTAGGCGCATATCACTTAAAACAGCTAGGACAATTTTCAATATAATTTGTGATCAGGGATCCTTTTTAGTAACTGTTGACAATAGTTTTGTAAAAATTTAAGACTAGATACGAAGTAAAACACTCACTCTCCAGCGCCGATGGATATATTATCATTGCTGCCTCGAATGAAGTACATGTTGTCGCCAGTCCAGCCCCAGTATTTGAATTTCGTTTTAACTTGTACTGTTTGGTCTGGAAATGCAGTTAAAATACATATTTTATATTAAATATGTTTCAAAAAATTATAAGTTTAACCCTTTATCTTGGGTTATAGACTGAGTTACTGAGTATCTGATTTTTTATAGTTACTGCTGTTTTATTATGCATATAATATGATATACTCAAATTCAAAAAATACTTCATTTAATCACTAATTTTGTGAGACCTTTTTAACTCCATCGAGTCTTGAGTAATTCATGAGATTAACTTGAAAGATAGAAAAAAATGTCTTGAAAGAGAAAAAAAAACAAAACTAATATTAAAAATAAATCCTCACCATCTTGATCATCCTTCTTCTCTTCTTTATCATCTTTCTGTGGGACCTCATCAGGGGATGTCTGCGAGGTTCGGCGCTCTTCCACGCGCTGGAAAGAGAACAGTAGAGACTCGCCCGTGCCGTAAAAGTGCTCGGACGGCCTCAGAGCGCACGAGGTCAGGGCTCCAAACACCTGGAAATGAAAATAATACATTATTTACTCTTAATTTAAACAGTTGTTATAATGTGTCAACGACTAAATTAATAAATTCTAAATTTAATAATTTGGTACAATTTCGAATCTCCAAATAACGCTGTTGTAACTCAATTGCTATAATTTTAAAATAGAAATTTATTCCCTATATATCCAAATTCCAAATTGATACCATAATACGTTGCAATAATGCTCTTTTTACGTGGCAATTATCATGTATAATGAAAAAGCTTTAAAACTTTTCGATACTCTTAAAATAAATCTTAAGACTTAAATATCTTACAAAACAGCTGCAGAGCGTTATCATTAACCTTCGTATTATTCTCATGACCTCAATACCATAAGGAGTACGAAATTATGTTAATTAAAAAAGTTGTTCAACGAGCGCTTAAAAAGACGTCACGTGGTTTTTTTAAAAACATTCACAGTGTGAAAATATACTAAAAATAATCTATTTTGGATTAGCTTTTTGTTAAGCTCCATAGAGCTTTTACTAAAGGAGCTTGAAGAATACACAGTTATACTTCTATCGTGAAGGAAATGAACGAATTTTATGTTTGAATGTAGAGCATATATTATTTAAGCATAAGCATAGTTTTTGAATTATATATATATATATATATATATATATATATATATATATATATATATATATATATATATATATATATATATATATACCGATGTCTGGTTATTTATAGTGTTGATGAAATACCAAATTTCACATACTTCTTTTATCTTAGTTTTCCGAATTCCGATGTAAACGTTGATTTTAAAATATAAGGTTACACAATGTGTATGAAATATCATCACACTAATATAATTAATTAGATTATTAGAAGGTTTGTAAATAAGTGTTTGTTACTTTTTCACACTACAACAACTTATCGGATTTGAGTAAAATTCGAAATAGATATTCTGATAATCTGGATTAACACATAGTATGTTACGCGTATCAACTATCTCTTATACCCAATTTAAATAATAAAATAGCAATAAAAGTGGTCATTGCTCTAGATAAGATTTGAAATAAATATTTGACATACAATTATATGCCTCAGGCAGCCTTTAATTTCAAATCAAAATACTAAAACTACATACATACAACTACTACTACATTATAAACTACTCGTGACACGTAAGTATTTCAAACGAATATAATCCCGCGGAAAACACCTTTCGTATCGTAATAAATAGCAGCTTAAGTCACTCTCCGACCCATTTACTTATCTCAATGTAAAATTACGTTCAATACAAGAAAAACACCATTTGCTGTCTCATTGTTGAAAGTGGGACAAAATATATATATAATTGTTTATAATATTGGAAAAAAAAACAACATCGAAAAAAGCTAAACCAATCGTGTTTTACAATACCTGCATTCTATTTTAAGATAAGCAAATATTATTTATCTATAAAAAAATTACTTTGATACTTTATCTCGGGTCCTAAAAATATGATGAATAAATAAGTATACATTTTTTTCTAAAATTGAAAAATTCAAGTTCCAATAATTTTTAGGATCCAATAGGAATTCTCCGTTTTCAATATTCAATAGCTTCATTAGTACACTAACGAATTACCCATACTTAGCTCGGGTGCGTGACTATAGTATGTCTTTCGGCTATACATCCTATAGTATTATTTCAAAACTTTTAGGCAGCGCACGCCGATAAAACAACTTACCAATCAGTTGTTGACCGAGTTCAATTAAAGTTATTTTCATTTCTAACAAAAACATTTTTATCGGAATAAAAAATAGTTTAAAGCACTCAGCGGTAACGTAGGCTCGTATTAGTCAAAGAATTTTCAGAATCTAATCACTAATTTTAACACCCCTAGGCCTTACACACAAAGTCAAAATTTACAAGCTTTAAGTCGTTATAATATTCATGTAGATAAGTACCAAAAAAAATTTCTTTTGAGTGTTTCATCATTTTTAGAGGATCAAGTAATAAGAACAATACCTTATTTTCAGTACTCAATAACTACGTTAGAAGCCGTACTCACATTGTTGTCTGTATCCTGTATGACGAGCAGCACGGGTGTGTCGACGCGCTGCATCTTGCGGTACATGGAGGCGAGCGAGAAGCCGTGCTGGCTCGTGCTGAACGCCAGCGACCACATGTAGCCCTGCGCGCGCGCTGGTAGCACTGTGCATAGTTTCTCTCTGTAACACGATATGAATTTATTTACTAAGAACATCATTTTCGCATATAATATCATAAACAGTTTCTATGTTAATAACAGTTATACAATTGAATAATTGTTATTTTTTGTTTTTTCACTTTAGATTAGTACAATTTTAATGAATGAATGAATTACTCTTTATTGTTTACCCAAAAAGAGAAAATAAAATATACAAAATATAGAAGAAGGTACAAGAGTCGGCCTTATCGCTAAAAGAGCGATTTTTCCCAGGCAACCTTTAGGTGTAGGAAATAGTACTAAGATAGAAGGGGCGCGAATAACAAAAATAAAATAAATATAAATAAATTAGTAAGTTGATAACTCATTATAAAAATTTCACATCAGAAATAAATAAAAAAAAATATTTTAGAGTGAGATGTAATAGGATCTTAATTATAAGTTTTTACATTTTTTGGATGTTTGGTTATTCGTTTCACTCGAAGCGAATTGAAATGAATAGTAATTGGACAATTTCACTGTACACATAATAAGTTTTATTAAAAACAGTTTTATTTTAATCGTTGAAGTAGATTCCTAGATATTCTTTTGTTTTGTCAGATCTTGCTAAAAACAAACCAAAGATCCTGTTTGAAAAACGTTTAGTCTGAAAAACAGGTACAAGCCGTTGCGCAAGCAGGCAGGAGCTAGCAATACTTACTTTCGAATAAATTGTAATTTTCTGTTTTTAATATGTTTTGTTGATGTATATTACGGCAATATATAGTTTCATCATCTGAGTAGAATTCCACACCACAAACATTCGGTTTGTGTCGGAACAGAACCTGCGGTCGGCTACTTGTAAGCAATACCCTAACATACTTGGAAGTCTTTGATTTTCATATTCGATTTTGAATACAAAACCTGTCTATAGCTAATTATAGTCTATGTACCAACAGGTCTCGATGTCAAAGCAGTTAAGTGTTTAAGTTTAATATCCTCATGCCTTAATACATATTATGTAAAAGACGATAAATTGTGTAACGTGTTGTATAAAACCTATGATAATAAGTAATAACTATGTAATTCATTATAAACAATGTATGAAAAATGTACTTCCCAAACTGCAAAATATTCCTTCGACAACTTGCTAAATTGTTAAGGAAAAGTAGTACAACGAAAAATCACATAACCCAATCTTTTTTAGTATAAATTTAAACAAATATATTTTATGTTTAATGCATTATCTTTTTGCAACACACATTATTTCTGTCAATTTAAACTGTGTAGTTTCCCATTAGTATATGGGAAAAACAATAATGGAGAACATAAGTTTTACCTGTGTTCCATAGTGAATATCTCAGAGGTTCCGATGAGGTCGGGAGGCGAGAACTCCATGTCAACGGACGCGCCCGACGAGTACAGAGCGCGCCGTAATTCATCGCTCATCGACAGCACCTACACAATAATTCATATTTAACATATAGGTACATATATTTATAACAGCTTCACAGAAACACACAGGAAAGGTATAGACAACAGGTTGTAGGCAATGTACTTTTTTATTTCTTTTTATAAATGAAGTAAAATTAGTAAGAAAAGTAAAGGTATCCTACAAGTGTGTCACCTCACAACCTTTAGACATACGCTTTCCTAAAATGACCCAGTTTCAAATATTGTTACAATAAAATTCATAATAATATAGGCCTTTACAGTAATATTATAGTAAAATTCCAAATTTTAAATATTCTATAGATTAAATCTTTTTTACTTCTAGTCGTTAATGTTAAGATTTTGGTCATATACATTTTTATATTAGATGTATCATGAAATTAAAATATGATAGTACTTATGTACAGTCCAATACAATTAAGTTAGCGAAACTGGTCACTTTAATGGACGGATACTTAACGTATGCAACGTAATATATTGTCGTCGAGATGTATGGACATATTGTGCACCATGCTTTAAACAAGAAAAATGATAAATGGTACTTGTTCGATGGACGACTGACAGTATACCTGATATTGATTGAAATAAAATGATTAATGACGGTAATGATAGATTGATTAATACTAATGAGATGAAGCATTCCTGTTCTCTACAGTTCACATTCAACATCCAGTGTGAACTAGAGGCGCGCGTGCGCACTACTTCTAGTAACAAATATAGATAACAATAACGTGAGCAGGCTAACAAAAAGCTAATTTATATTACTAGAACGACTGACATGATATATTCTAAGTGTTCAAGAAGTTGGGTTTAATCTATGTATTTATATCATCAAAGGTTAAATAATAAAAAAAATTTTTTAAAGGTTTTGTTTCATTTTATTATATGTATTTAGCAGTATTTCGAACCCATTGCTTACCTCGCAAATACAATGCAACGTTCCTCTGCGACATATTGTACTTAAAGAATCCCTTTTAACAACGACTTTTAATGTTCTATTATCTACCCTTCGTATATGCTTAATGACTTTTTGCACTGTTTTGCGTAGCATTATAATTTAAAATTTGCACTATATAAAAACAGGTCGAATTATTGTTAAGCGTCACGCTTATTATAAATTTGAGCCGGGTTGTGTCGTCGACTTAATATTGGATAGTACAGTGTTTTATTTAGTGAATGTTTTATCTCAGGGCATTTATCGTAATGCATTTACAATAATAAAGATACTAAAGCAATAACTAAAACGATTGTGTAGAGATTACTGACTCGAAATATCATATTAACAATTCTTTATACACTTAGGTACCACATAATTTATTACCTATAGTTTTAAAAATAGTTTAGTCCTATATGTATATAATATTAATAAGATTCCAAAATTAAAATATGTTAATGAAAAAAAATAACTTTTGATTTCATGTTGTAGAGTCTCACGATTTCGCGATTATTATAATTCATTCATGAATAAAAGTACTTTTATAAAACAATTTATTCTTTTCTTTGTGGAATCAGCAGCGAAATATATAACACAATAATACATAAAGTAAATCCGCTCAAAAGTTGTTTTCTTCACGGTAGAGTTCATTTTCAACAAGTCAGTTACATATATTCATATAAGTACTATATAACTATATATTGCGATAATGATAGCTGAATTTTAAAAGGTATATAAAACACCTAGTTGTGAGAAAAATATTAAAATGTACTTATGGGATTTATTTTAAAGTTAAATATATATTTATTCAATAGCACGATTTTCATATTTAAGGTTAATGATCGTTCCGCTCCATAGATACAGCATTTTTTCAATCTAATAAGGAACTTGAGGATAGTCTTAAAATTTAGATGGATAAGTTTTTTCCACTGTTCTATACATATAATAAAATAATTGTAACTAAGCCGAATCTATACATTAAATATTTTTTGGAAAATCTTATTGAAATAGACATTATTATCGATACAGAGGCCAAATCTATAGTTTTTAGAATTTTTGTCTGTCTGTCTGTTACCGCATCACAGAAAAACCACTGGAGGGATTTTGATGAAATTTGGTATGATGATAGTATATCAATGGATAAGTATATCAATATACTTATGTCTTATATCTATGTATGGGTGTATAGAATAGAAACTGGATTACGAATATACATATGTATACCATTAAGACCTACTCGTACCCACGTAACGTTCAAGTTAAGAAGTCATCAGAGTTCATATTTGGCTTTTTATTATTATTAATCAACCTATCACGTACAAACCGGATATTATTATAAGGTTACACCACATAATAAAGAAGGAAGTATTTATTTTATAAAAATAATTGAAATCTTAACCGATTTAATAAATTTAATTTTTTACTTATTATTAATAAGGGAGGTAATTAAAAAGATTAGAAGTATCCATAAAAATCAGTTTTGGTTTTTCAATATGTTTGCTACTGCCACCTACGTAGGTCGTAGAAGTATTGAAAATTGTAATAATAATATTATAAAATTTTACTTTATCGTTCCAACAATAAGTTTATCTTTGTTCGAATTAAAATAAAATTGTGTACAATAATAATCGCAAATAATTTTATGGGTGTAATTTCGATAATACTAATAGTAAAACATAAATAAAGATAGGAAGTAACAATAAGTAACCTCCAATTCAATAATTATAATTGAGATATGTATGTACCTATGTATATACATCTATTATAATTTTTTATAATACACAGCATTTTAAGAACTTTTTGTACAGAGATACGTGACACGATGACGTATAAAAACAAGTCATGTTTATGGAATCTTATTTCTTGAAGTAGCTTATAAATTAGTTATAACTATAAGATATTTTTAATTTACCTATGTCCTATACCTAATTATAATAATTAACCGTTAGCTGTTTGCGTATACCGATTGCACTCTCACCTTATCACTGTCGAACGTTGAAGACCTTTCCGGTGACGTAGGACCGATTCGCACCATTTCTATCCATTTCATAGTCTGCATTTGTATATTAATACTAGTTTTTACACATCAAAGAATGCGTGCTTTATTACACGTTGCAACAAAAAAATATGTGTAAACATCAACAGCACGCACGTTCGCCCAGTTTCCTCTTTAAAATCACCTACGAAAATTACGTGGGTTCGAAACTCCGTACTGATCAACTCGCGGCCGACTTTTGCTTATTTATAAACAGTAAGAACTGTTTCGTGTTACGTTGCACTTCGGCCCAGTAAAGTACAGTAATGACGGAAATTGTTTTACACTGCTATTGCGTTGATGAGCAGTCGCGTCTCGTTAATTAACGAAGTTTCGAGTGAGTTCAATACGCAGTGCGACCGACAAACGACTACAGCGGAGTCGCGCTGCTGGGGGACTAGCTAGAGACTAAAGAAAGGCCCGCGGTTACACCGAGCCGACCGACCCCGCTGCACTGATGACAAAAACCGTATGCTAGTTTTAGCACATTGTTTATAGCAATTTTAAAATTAGGTTCAGATGATCTGTATCGTAGTTGATTATACGTGAAACAGTTGATCTTAAAAATATTTAACTCTTGTTATTTTTTATATTCTTACTATTTATGTACAGAATTAACCAGCAAATGCTCATTCAAGTGGAACTGTAGAATCGCATAGTGGTTGGCATTGGGAATGTTGTTGTAAAATATAATAAAAGTAGTCGAGACGCGCGCTAAGATGATGTCGGCTTACGTATGCAGCCGGACGTGCTCGCCGCCTGGCGCACTGCATGCCAGCTCTACCGTCGCGCGTCGGAGCGATGAGCCGATCATCCTCTAATTAATAAGGTATGCATGCAAAATCTTATTACATGTCATTATAAGTAAGGTTTATATTAATTATATTAGCCATATTATTTCACAGTTCACATAACTTAGTTTAATTTAGCGAATTTAAATAAAAAATCGAAACAATACTATATTGTAATTATTATAAATCATATAAAATTTCAGTTAATTATGTTCTCGTAAAATATCTTTTATTCATTCTTAATAGAAATATATTATGATTTATGATGTAAGAACACACAGATTTATTAAAAATTCTAAAGATACGTGGCGAGCCCGATCGTTAAATATAATAGACGTGTCTTACCAATGGCAGGTGAATTTTGTACGGTGACGACGCGACGTATAAAATATAAATGCATAAAACGCAATTACACTTTATAAGTGTTTATAATATTTAAATAAATGTACATAAATTAAAATAAAATTAAAACAGCGTGCCACATCTAGGCTGATACATGTACGTACAATATTGAAAAAATCCATTTTCAATATTTTTAATAAATAATGCAAGAAGTTAGCCCGAGGACAGCAACTTCCGTACGATTTATTGCTCTTGCAATAAACTTGTTACAATTTTATATACCACGCTTTGTAACCTATACTTACCTACTGATTAAATACGCATTGAGATATGCACCCTTATAATACTCGCACTTTTGTGTTAATATAGGTACCATACTCGCAGTTTGAGTAGATTAGTATTCAGTATCTATGATATAGTAATGAAAATATATAAACATACATAAATAAATAAATATAAATTAATAATGTTGGGACATTAACACATAGCGCCAACTACATAGTTCCATGGTAAGCTACGAGGCTTGTGTTATGGATACCAGATTGTTGATACACTACACATATAACTTTTAAATACATACATATTATACATATAAACACCCATGACTGGAGTACACACATTCGTGCTCATCGCACAAATAAGTGCCCCCTGCGGGACTCGAACCCACGACCGCTGGCACAGAAAGTATGGTTACTACCAACTGAGCCAAACGTGTCGTCAAACTACAAATGTATGAACTATCTCAGCTCTAGAAAAGCTGTAACCTGACAACCCTAATATCACGAAGAATCTTAACACTATACGTCTTCTTAATCTTTTACCTACATACTTAATTGGCTGATTCTTTTGCATTCCTGCATGTATGCAACAAGTATTCATATAGACTACCTATACATGTATTGTA